AGTGCTACATAAATAGCCATCAAAGGCAGTTTTCTGTTTACCAACTGGCACATAAAAAGAAAAGATGAAAGAAAATATCCCAACTCCCACATTCGGAGATAGTTCGATCAAGGAGCCATCTGCATATACACGTAACCATTCTGGTTCAGGGTAGAGAGTGTCGATAGTTTCAAGTGCAAGGATCTTTAAGCTGCTTTGAGGCATTTGGCTCTTTAGAAATGGTTGTGCATGGTCCAGATTGGTAGATATCTCAACATAGCTTACAGGGTTAGGGGGTTTTAAGAAACCCTCTACAGAATCATCAAGTTCCAGCTCTGCTCTTAATTCTAGAACTCTCTGTAGAAAACCACTATGTGTCTTTAAGTGTCTTGGAATATTTTGGTAGTAGTTCCAAAAGGGTACATTTAATGTAATTAATTTTTCATAAAGTATAAGAGCTTTCTCTTCAATAATTGATTTGATTGATCTTGTATTGGTCAGAAATAGAAGAGAGTCAATGGGAGTAGTCTGCACTGCACTACAATAAGTCTAAGGGCCTGGTTTTGAATTAATTCGAGTTTCTCAATCAAGTTCTTTGGGGCAAAAACAAGAACTTCACAACAATAAGTGATAACAGGCAAAATGTATTTTTTATAGGTGTTTTCTAGTGTAGTTCGAGCGCACCCCCAAAGACAACCAGCCAGGCGTTTAAGAATGTACAGGCGCTTTTCAACTTTTCCAACGCACTTTCAATGTGCAGTTTCCAGCTTAACTTATTGTCGAAGACCACGCCTAGGTATCTAAATTTATCAGTGTATAATAAGTCTTGATCTCTGTAGACCATCAATGAAAAAGTTTGCACAGCAGACTTTCTGAGGTTCACCGTCATGTTGTTGTCGCTACACCATTCAGATAGAACGTTTAACGCTCTGTTCAAGAGCTTTTCGGTTTCATATTTTGCATTCTTCTTTGGAAATTGGGTCCACATAACTAGATCATCTGCAAACAGAAGACACTCCATTCCGTCCGTTCTCAAGGCAAGGATCAAGTCGTTTATGTAAACATTAAAGAGTGAGCAGCTACTCACTGCTCCTTGGGGCAGTCCAGTCTGGAGAATGTGACTTTTAAAGGTTGACTGTCCGAAGCGGACCTTGCAGCTTCTCTGACCCGAGAATGAAGAGAACCAATGTATCATCTTACCTTTTTCCCGCCAAACAGAGTCGTATGCAGATTTAAAATCCACATAAATTGCAGTCATTACTTCTCGTCTGTCAAGAGAATCTTTGACTAAGATGAGCCACCTGATCAGTAGTGGATCGGTTTCTACGGAAACCAGCCTGCTCATGTCTAAAGTAAATTATGGGATTCAAGTACCTAATTCAATCGGTTCATGATCATCCGTTCCATTAGTTTGGCCACAGTACTGGTAAGAGAGAAGTAGCTTTCGGCATCTTTGTCTTTTTTCAGGATAGAGACTATATCGTAGCTCCTTTCCAAATGCCAGGTACAGTTCCTATCTTCCAAATAAGATTGAAAATCTTTAAAAGAGTCAGTTTTGCATAGCTACCAGTATGCTGCATGTATGTTATCCGGTCCTGAGGACTTTTTAATTTTCAGATTGTTAAGGCAGAAGGTGAATTCTTCTTCAGTGAAAGGTAGATTTAAAATGTTTTCCGTGTCCTCCAAACGATGGATCTGAGATGAAGAAAGGTTGTTGGTATTCTTTTTGAGAAATCTTGATATCTTCCTAGCATAAGCTCCTTTTTCCTGACATTGGCTATACGACTTTGTAAAAAAAATTTTTCAATATCTCGATCTGAAAAGAATTCCCTTCCCTGGTAAATAATTGGAGTCCTTTTTGAAATAGCTTTCTTATTTGTTAAGTTCGAAATAAATTTATACGTCTTTAAACTGTCCTCCCTATAATTTATATTTTCAATAAAGTTATTAAAAGTCTTCCGTCAGAAACATTCCACTATTCAAAGATTATTTAAACATTATTTTCGAATGCTATATTTTCTCAGACAGTTTATTTATTTATTAATAGATTTTTTGCTTAAAAATGTAAAAACTTTCGATAAATAATTTATATTAAATTTGGTATTTTCCTCTCCATAGAATCTAATTCAAAATATTGTCAAGTTAATAAAATATACCTGCCCAGTTAAGTTAATAAAATATAGCCTGTCAAGTTAATAAAATATACGTCCGGTGGCTGAACGGTAGCTTTTCGCGCTGCCGTGCCTCAGGTTTGATCCTCGGGCCGGGTAAGGTTGACTCAGCCTTTCATCCCTTCAGTGGGTCGATAAATGAGTACCAAGCACGCTTGTGAACTAAATACTGGGGGTTCCGCGTTCAGCTGACCGGAACATCTGCTCCTGCACCCCAGAGCCCAAGGTCAAGAAAACTGAGATGGGCACAGTAGGCCTTGGCCCTCTATGGGCTGTCGCGCCACTGAGTTTAGTTTAGTAATAAAGTACATAAGAAATTTAAAAAAAAGCATTAAAAACTTAACAAAAGTGCAAATATTTGATAATTCCAGGTTAAAATAAATTCGTAAAAAAATGGTTTAGACTAACAACATGGCTCATGTAAACATAAATAAATATTTCTTAATACTAGTTCCTCATGTTTAAATAAGCAAAATTTTTATTCAAGACCATTTTGAATGTAGGTGCAAATGAAACTAAGTACGTTGCCTAAAAGTAGTCAGTAATCACTGCATTTTAAAAAAGGTATCTTTTACAAGAATGGGGGAGGAGGCATAATATAGTAATGTAAGTATATTTTTATGTAGATCAAACAGACTTTAAATCTACATTAAATTTGAATTGATTGAGGGGAGGAATCAGTATGACAACCCAAAAATATTTTTAGAATATTCTTTATCTTTGCTATCAATTTTAGAAAATAACACTCTAAATATTAAACAGATTTTTAAGTAAAACTTGTGAGACATCTTCAGTTTTTTAAATATCCAAATGTTGTACTAAAGCATCAGCATATAAAGTAGAGCAGTAGTAAAATTTAGGAATGCTATTGCTAGATAATGTGAAAAGGTGTATGTGGCTAAAAATGTCATAATTTATTAATTTTCATAGTCATAATTTATTAATTTTCATGTTCCTGTAAATAATATAGTTATTAACAAATCCTCCACTATGCACAACTCTAATATTAAGTTTCAATTTACTGGTTAGTCTATCAATGAATTCCCCTCATTTACTCAGAAAATTTATTCATTTTTTTTTACGGAACTATGTAATTATTGCCGCCCGGTGGCTGAGCGGTAGCGCTTCGCGCTGTCGTGCCACAGGTCCCTGGTTCGATCCTCGTTCCGGGCAAGGTTGATTCAGCCTTTCATCCCTTCAGTGGGTCGATAAATGAGTACCAAGCATGCTTGGGAACTAAACACTGGGGGTTTCACGTTCGGCTGACCACCTAACCGGAACATCTGCTCCTGCACCCCAGAGCCCAAAAAAGGTCAAGAAAACAGAGATGGGCACAGTAGGCCTTGGCCCTGTATGGGCTGTCGCGCCGCTGAGTTTAGTCATGTAATTATTGGTATTTTTTTTATTTAAAAATAATGGCTAGGAAACCTTAGTGTACTGACCATGATCTACGTGTACTATCTTTTTTCAACTTTATATTCTATTTAGAATATTATTTGCTTTGTTCGAATTTGTCAATATAATTATCTTTTAAGCTCAGTATTCTAATCAAAGTCCTGTAAAATAAGATTATTTCTTTATAAATAATGAATGTTATTATAATNGTAACAACGCCCGGTGGCTGAGCGGTAGCGCTTCGCGCTGTCGTGCCACAGGTCCCTGGTTCGATCCTCGGGCCGGGCAAGGTTGACTCAGCCTTTCATCCCTTCAGTGGGTCGATAAATGAGTACCAAGCATGCTTGGGAACTAAACACTGGGGGTTTCGCGTTCGGCTGACCACCTAACCGGAACATCTGCTCCTGCACCCCAGAGCCCAAAAAAGGTCAAGAAAACTGAGATGGGCACAGTAGGCCTTGGCCCTGTGTGGGCTAACGCGCTGCTGAGTTTAGTTATGTAATTATTGGTATGTTTTTTATTTTATTTAAAAAGAATGGCTAGGAAACCTTAGTACACATAGATCATGGTCAGTACACTATCTTTTTTCAACTTTGTATTCTATTTAGAATATTATTTGCTTTGTTCGAATTTGTCAATATAATTATCTTCTAAGCACAATATTCTAATCAAAGTCCTGTAAAATAAGATTATTTCTTTATGAATAATGAATGTTATTATAATTTTAATATTTAAAATTATCTATAATTACTGTTGACTTTTGAAGCATATTTTTTGCTTTGTTGGATCATAAGATTTATTGATAAAAAAAGACATCAAAATATTTATTTAATGTCTCTTAATTACTCATTCTATTTAATTAGCTATATCAATATCATCTATATTATAAAATATGAATTAGGTTTAGGCGTGGAGCACAATATAAAAAAAGCCTAAATAACTTTTGATCTAATCAAAAGGTATTCATGTACTGAGATGTTTTTATTAACGGTTCAATAGCTACCTTGAAAAATGCTGATTAATTTTCATAGACGACATTTTAAGTTAAGAAATAAGATCCGAAAAAGCATTTCCTCTGAATAAACAAAACTCCCCCACCAGATCTTGATTCAAAACACTCAAAATATTGGGGGTAAGATTTCGAAAAATAGAATTCCACTATTTTTGTCAGGAGAGTAGTTGAAAAGTTTCATTCTATTTTTGGTACTGTATTTTTCTATTGTATTTTGCTATCTCGGAAACTATTAAAGAGAATCAAAAAAAATTTTTTTAGATACAATTATAAAATCTCTTTAAAATATTTTATTTCCTCAATAAAAAGTCTTATTACAAAAATTGTCCACATAAATCATATCATGAAGGTTCAACATAAACATAAAACAAAATAGATTTAAATTTGAAAAGCTTTATTTTTTTTTACTAAGTATCTAAATAAAATCAAGGAAAAAATATAGCTGATTTTGATAAAATATATTTTATTATAATAAGCATACAGCTAATTTTATACAAATCAGCCATAAATATAATACAGATTTCAAATTGTTCAGTCAGCGCTCCAAACTCAAAGAAGGAAAAAAAATAAAATAATGTATACATTAAGTAAACTTAGACAAACATTAGTTTCATTCTTACAAAAAGACAAAAATGTTTGGCTTAATACTGCTACATTTGTTTACTTTACACTGGTATAAAATCTTATTTACAGTATAAAAAATTAGAATTCAAACAAGCAGATATAATATAGATGCAGTAGATGATTTAAATAGTTAACAATTGCATAGATGGTTAAGGAGTTTCAAGACTACTAATCTAAAAAGTTTCCTTTTTTAATATAGAATATGACTTCTCTATCTTGAGTAACCTATTATTTATTTATTTTTTTACAATTTATATACAAGTTTTTGTTGAATAATATTCGAAGTAATCATTCAAAATGTTAATTTGCTGATCAAATCAAATAAGTAATTTTAATTACAATCCAATTTTTAGACACTTCAGCTTATACATATGGAAATTAAAGGAAAAAAAAAATTCTTATTTTGAATTAGATCACTGTTCCTGAATCATATCAAATATAAGCAGTTTTGTGGAATCAAAGACAATTTTGCAAACATTTTCATGACTGTGACTCCTACAAAACTGTTTTATTAAAAGTGGTTCTAAAGAAAAGTTTTTGATTTTATGAAAGCTATTTAGACTAATATTTAAACAATTATTTAAATTATAGCTTACCACAAAATTAGTTGGTTATATATAAAACTAAATCTTTATTTTACTAAGAAATTAAAATTAAAGATAATGCCAATTAAAAGCCATTTTTAAATGCTTTCTAAACTAGTAGTTTTAAAGATACTACTGATTAGAAGGGTAGCAAACGAGTAATTGTCGGCTTTATTGCTAAGATTTGGAAATAAAAAAAAGTACAATGCAAATTTGATATAAATTTTATCGCTTTTCATTTTGTAATTTAAACACCAAATTCTGGCTAAATAAAATGATTAAAAATGTAAATGCGTTCCAGCTTAAAATTATTTTTACTAAAAAATAACCAAAACACCTTTTGACAGGTCAAGGTTTTCTTCTGTCCCATAAATTCCCAAACTGATTGATTGTTTAATACAAAAACATGTTCTCCAACAAGGAAAGCCAAATTAGCAGAATTTATGGTAAGTCAAAGTTTCCCATAATTTAAATTATCGGAAAGCCCATAGTTTTGAATTATCGTAAATCAACTATTTTTTAATACAAAAACATGTTTTCCATATATTGGACTGGCAGAATGAACATTTGGCGAATGGAAAGAATTCCTTAAAGGGAAATTCATATATTTATTTGTTTTAGTACATTTTATTTGAAGAATAAATGCACTTCTCTTTCACTTTTTATTCAAAGGGCTCATTCATGAAAACATTAGCCAATTTATAAAACACTACAGAGTTGAAAAAATTTATACTTGATTATTACATCACAATCAGAAATGATTAACAGTCGGTAAAAGCAATTCATAATAGATTTAAATGAATTTTAAAATGCATTAAATAATCTGACAAAAAATTTTTAGTTTTACCCAATGCTTAAAAACTCATGCAAAATTTTTACTCACTCTTTTAATAAGTTATATTTACAAAACAATTTTATAACTAGGATAAATTATGTGCTATGTACAAGCTAATTTTAATTCATTTTGCTTCAAGACTTTAAATAATGTAAATGCAACAACAAGTGATTTAAATGCAAGGTTCTTAGAGCTTTTTCATTTGATGAAATGATTACCATGTGGGAATATTTTGTCATAATCTACAGAAACATGCACACACAAAAAAAAGTAAGTATAAAATAGTAAAAACAGATTTTAATGAAAATGATTATTTACATATGAAATATGTGATAAAATATGCTTACAAATGAAAAAAACTCCTTTTATGGATTTACCACAAAAGAACCTCAAACTTCTATATATAAGTTTGATCATTTTGTCGATAAATTTGTGTAGGTTATTTACCTCAGAAGTATAACAGCAAAAAGAACACATAATAAAACTTATAAAAAATGAGGTGTACTTGTGTTGAGGTCTAAACAAGGCAGTAAAAAATTGATTTAAAGTTTAGCTTACGAGAAAGAAAAACTATAATTTTTTACACTATACAAAATAAGATAAGGTGGGGGAACTGACTACAGAATACACAAAACTTGAGGGAGCTTATTAGATTACAAAAATATATTTTTTATCTCGAACATTTTTTAGTATCATAAACATTAAATTAAAAAAAACAAAACAGTCTACATTTATTTAAAAAATATGCGATGCTTAAAATAAAGAGTAATAATTAACCATATTTTAGTCACTAATCAGCATTTTTACATTGTCTAAAACTATATTTAGTAGTAACACAAATATTTTCTTTCAGAAATTTTAGTTTAAAGCTAAACTTAATCCTCAAATTTGTTTGTAAGCCAATTATTTATTATTTGTGTGTTGCAATAACATGCTTGTAACACTTTTCCTTGATTAAAAATTGGATCATCAGCAGAATACTGAATTTCCAACTAAAAAAAATTAAGTGATATCTAATACACCCCAATTTAATTCTAAATGTATATTCAATAAGTTACTAAGACTTTAAAACACATGTACAAAAATTCAAGACATAAAAACGAAAATGGATGAACTATTTGAAATAAGTATGATTAAACAATTTCAAAAACACCAAAAACTTATATTTTGACAAATACACACTCAGCAATTGCGCTTAGTTTTGTTTTTATAAAGATGATTTGATTTATGTCATGTTTAAAAAAAATAAAAAGCAAGTCACTATTCTAAGAGAAAATCTAAATATTTGATTTAATACATTAGGCTGGGATAAAAGTCAGAAATTCTCAGAACTACATCAATTTTAATTACAAAAAACAATAATTTTATATTTCATTATTCACAAACATTTTGGTTTCTTGCTACCGTTAATTCACAAATTAAAAAAAAATCTTGAATAACAAATTACTAATAGATACAAAAAAAAAAAAAAAAAAAACAATTAAGGAGACAATTATTCAATATTAATTCAGACAATTGTCTCATGATGGAAAAATTGTATTAAAAAAAAATAACATTGGATAAAAATGAAGTTGGTAGAATTGCATTCTCTTAAGGAAGAATGAGGTTAAGCAGACCATCACAAATATACATTTTTACAGTAGCAGACCATAATAAAAAGGCACAAGGAGCTAATTCAAAAGAATTTTTAATCCACTTTGCTAAGCGGAAGACAACAGATTTCATCCTAAAACAGATTCTACAACTATGTATAGATATATAAATAACAGTATAATGTATAGCTACGGCTTAAAAAATCAAATGAAAAAACTTCTAGTTTCAAGTCAAAGCAATAAGTTTTGCATAGTAGAATGTCAAGAAAATAAATAAGAATAAAGAGTGAATTAAAAGCTTTACAAATGTATTAATACTTCACTTATATAATAATTTAAGTTTTAAGATTGGACTTGATATATAAACATAATTTATAAAAATAAAGGGGAGTCATTCATATTAAGATCTTTTTAATAAAATCTGAACTTCATGTCAATCTAGATAAAAGTATATATAGTTGCCACATCATAAACATCTACAGGATTTTTGTTTTTGGAATAACAAGGTAATTAACATTAAAAACAAAAGAGTTGAAACATTTTTAAAACATATTCTTATGCATAATTCATGCGTGTCATATTTTTATTATCTTGTACCTCTTGGACAGACCAGTACTAATGCCTAGTGATTTGACAAATAAATATTAATACTGGACAAATATATACCTGCCAACCATTACAGATTCTCCAGGCTATTTCATATTTATATCTATAGATGTAACATAATTTATAAATTTCTTTTTAATTAAAGGATGTTTAAATCCCATTTAAAATAATTTTGACCACTACTATATATGTAAATAAATGAATCATATGTATAAAAATGCAAATTAATGTAAAGTCGAGTAAATGAAATTTTTTATTTATTTATTTACAATTGTATTTCAGTTATTTTTTCAAGTACCACTTGAGAATTCCTGTGTGGAATAAGCAAAGTCTGGGACATGTGTCAATACCAAATTTGAACACTTTAATCATTTTCAACATAGCTCAATTTCAAAAGATGTTAGTTACCTCGTTTTCCTTAAATACCACAGATATATAATAACAAAACGATAACAACTCTAAATTTCTCACAACAAGAAAAAACTGCACAATCTATAAGCAGGTAACATAACCAGCATGTTACACTTAATGAACTTATTATTTACACTTATAAATACATAATGCACAACTGAACACACATTTTCAACTCACATTCTCGTTATGCACTTGAACATGAGCAAGCATAAATGCACCTTTACCTTTCACCACTATGTCTTTCTTGTGCACCTTGGAGGGAGGGAGTTCTATTTTGGTGACCGATGGTGACATGGAACAAGCGGTGGATGGTACATAAGAGAGTGGGGAAGAGGTGCAGCTGTCGCTGCTGAGAGAGTTCTGAGAGGCTAGGGTGTCAGGTCTCTCAAGGAGAAGAGGCTCAAAGTAAGGAGCTAGTTCATTATCCTCGTGAGGTGTCATGGTGCTGTAACCGTGATCACTGTCACCACCTGCTGGTCTTCTGTAATTTGTAGGCACCCGATACGGAAAGGCAACGTGTTCTATAGCAGGTATTAGCTGACGACACATAGGAACAACTGAAGATAAAAAGTAAGCGTAATTGTAACTTCGAGAGGGATTTTCATTTTCTTATTAATTGATAATTACAAAAATTTTTATGAAATATAAACAAAATAAAATGATGCAAAAAATATTGTAATTTAGACTTATAATAATAAAAAGTTAAGGTGAACAGAATCATAGATGGCTGTTTTAAAAAAATTAATGGATTCAGAAACAAAATAAATAATAAAAAACATTTTCTAAAACTGTATTTTAACAAACCTCAATATAGAAACATAGATTAATAACAAACATAATACAGCATTTAATTTTATTAATTTATTATTTTTTAGGGAAATTACACAAAATTCCTTCTCCCTTACATTTTACAAAGTAGTTTCCCTTGCCAATTAATTCAGCTTGTCCATTATAACAGAAACACTTTTATGACAAGACGGAGTACAAATTCTTGAATTAAATTAAAGGAATAATGTGTGAAGATACAATGAACACATTTTTTAGGGAAAAAACTATGTCATAATTAAAATCAAGAGACTTTATATAAAATGAACAGAAGGGGGATGAAAACATTACTTGAATGATCACTAGTAAAAGGATAAAACTATATTAGACAAGTTTGCTTAGAGCGAAAAAAAAAAACTTAAAAAAAATAATAAATAAATAAAATAAATAGGCAAGAAAAAATAAACAAGAAAACTTTTTCACACTTAGGTATTACTTCTTTTGTTTAAGGTTATTTGTAAGGTCCCATTTCAATGAATTTGTACACTTTTATTCTAAATTTTTCATAAAACATGCAATATGTTTTTGTTTTTTTTTTGCATATAAATATTACTGATATTTTACACAACACTTTTTTATTAAAATTTAATTGCCTGATAATTTAAATGATATTTTAACAAAGATCCAGCTCTAACCTAAAAATGTAATTAAGGAACATCAAAAGTGTAAATAGTAGGTAGAGAAAAAAGAAAAAGTTCTAAGTCAGAATAAAACACATTAGAAATGAGAAAGGACAACTTAAAAAAATTAACACATTATTATTTAATGTTAAACCGTTTTCCCTTTCCACTTAAAAAATAAATTTCAGGGGCTATTACAAATAGTTTGAAACTGTTTAACCAAAATTTCTAACTAAGGATAAATAAATTTGATAGATCGTTAAAATTAGAAAAATAAAATCGTTTTAAAACAGATCCTTCAAAATTTTATTTCATTCAACTACCTCTTTACTTCGATAAGCTAATTAATTGGAAAAGAGTTTTAAAATAATTGGAACAAATCAATTTTAACTGTTAAGATAGGTAAAAAATTATAAATATATATATTAACAAGTAAATATGTTTAATTCAGGCTAACTCTTTTTTTCAGAATTTTTTTCTTTCTACATTTCAAATTTTAATTTTTAGATACTCATTATTTTATATTTTTATTAATTTCAAATTCCTAACCTTGATTTACAATATATATATATATATATTAATAAGCAATAAAAAGCAGTATTCCTCACAATTTAAAAACTTTATTTTAGTTCTAATTCAAAATTCTCTTTTTTTCAAGGACTTTAGTAGATGATTTTCATGACCTTTTAGGAGTCCTTGAAAGCCAGGTGAGACTTGTCGTAAAAAGTACTGTACTGAGAAAACAATATTGAAATAAGAAATTACCAGGATTAATGTGCTCGTGGTAAGATTCCACTTCATCTGCTTCATTTTTAAGGTGAGCCATTGTAAAATTGTCAGGAGAAGACATCCCATAGTGTGGAGCTCCAGAATTTCTCCTTTTCCGGAAGAAATACATCATACCAATAACAATGACAAGGCACACGATGCAAAAGGCAGTTATGGGTCCAACATTAGAATCTGCAAGCATTAGGAGTTCACCCTCAGGCAACTCTTCTGTAAAAACAAAATTTGCAAATGGATTTTAAAAATAACAAATTATTTTTTTATGAAACTATTTGTTATTGTGCATAAAGTAAGGAAACATTATATATAATAAAGTGCAGTGAAGTTACCAATGATTAATTTTGCCCCTAAGCAATTTCATTTATATACTTTAATCATGACATTTAGTTTTACAGTCTGGAAACAAGGAGGCTGAGAAAGTAGACTGATTTCAAATCGATAGAAGCTTGTTTTATAATATAGATAAATACACTTAATAATTTTACATAACTTGCACCAAACAAGTAATTAAAAAACCAATTTCACAAGAAAGTTTGCTAAAAAATTTTAAAAATTACAAATACAGTAAAGGTTTGATGTAAAAAGTATAGCTTTTAATGAGAACCTTGATATTACAAACAATTTGAGGCGTCAAATGTACCCTACCTAATATTTAGGATATAAAATTTATGTGTTGTTAAGATAAAAATGTTCACTATAATATAATCAAAACAGAGTGGGAAAGTATGTCATTATTATTCAGGTTGCATAGACAAATTTTTCAACAATAAATAAGCACCTTTTAAGCAGTCAAAAAATATTTTTAAGCACTTTAAAAAAAAGAAAAAATCATAATTAGGCAGTTTAAATTTTTTTGTGTGTTTTGTAGATCTAGTACTGCTAGCTAGAAAACTGTTAACTCAAGTGCTTGATTTTTAAAAAATTGCATAGTAGATAGAATTTCGGTATCATTGAAAAAATTTTTTTTTATTATTTTTCTTTTTAGTGTCATCTTATAAGGTAAATAGAGAACTGCATTATTGTTATTTACAGTTTAAAAATAATCAAAGAAAGATCGATCAAAAGAATAGGTATTATTGAAAAAAAAAATGAAGTGAGGGTTTTCGAAAAAAGTCTAAGTTCACTTAGTTTTGTGATAAATCTTCTAATTAGTGAACTAATTAGCAACATTTTTTAGATTTGTATTAGGCAATCTTAATACCAATAAGTTCAATATAAATATTAAAGTCTATCAAATTATTGCTTTTCTTTTAGACTCTTGCTTTCAATATGAAAAAACTTATTCAATTTACTGTTAAGCATTTCAATATTTATTGCAACAATTCTATGGACTGCAAAATTTTACGGTGTTCACAATACTTACTTAAAAAATAACTAACAGTTTTTTCTCCTTCCAGTTAAGTTCTATTATAGGTAGTAATATTGTGGTTACATTATAATGTGTATGACATTTTATTGAAAATCTTCAATTCTCATATATAAGTATAATAAAGTATAGTTGAAAATACAAATCTAATTTCTTACCAACAATTTCATCTGAATAAGGCGTTCGTGATCCAAAAACTCCGCCAAAACACCTCCTCTGCTCAGTGCAAAACTTTTCTGCTAGGGGTGTTACACCATCAGATTCTAATTGGCACCACTCACAGCCCAGAATACCTAAACACTCACTGCAATAGAATTTATTAGATGAAATAACAAATATTTAAACCAAATCCCATTGAAAAATTTAAAAAAGATAATATCATACATTTATAATATACAAATTAATATAAAATTTTTTTTAGAACTTTCAATACTTTGCAAAATATCTTACATAATATGTTATTCGAATACACTTACAGTCAACATTATGTCCCCTTTTGACCGAATGAAAATTAATAAAATGACTTCAAAACCACATAGAAAATTTATTATTTTCAACGTATATTTAAAAATTTTAATGAGAAATTTTTTCTTTCTTTCTGAGAACGTGGTGTGGGAGGGGAGGAAATTAAAAGATCTGAATTGAATATCCAAAGTTTGTTACCTTAATTCAGTTCTCGATTCACAATGATGATCATAACAAGGCTTTAGGCTTTCCAGTAGTTTTTTGTTTACAATTGGTAAATTTGGCATTTCCGGAAAGTGAGGACACGTTTCAAACCTGATTCAAATATAACAATTTAATATTTCACTAAATGAATAATACAAATACTTAAGAAAACATATAAAATGAAAAATACCGATTATTATCCGTATCTAAATCTCCACTACACACATCTAGTTTCAAAGGACATTCACAGGGACACTCACATTCTGTGGGTTCCATTCTATGGCAATTCAGGCACAGTCTATCAGTCTAAAAGGATAAAATTAATAATTATTAGGATTTTATCATAATAATTAATCAATATACAATTATATATGAGAAAATTAATGCCATATGTTAAGTGCCATGCCACTTATAAGGTGATATTGGTCTAAACTCAAAGTCCTGCTTAATGGTTTTTAGTGTCCTAAAAAATGGCTGTGAAGAGGCGGTCACTAAAATTGCTAAGTATTTTTAGGGGTCGAAAGATGTTTGTCAAAAACCCTTAACTCTGAGGAGAGACATGAAATTTAGTGTGGTAAGGAAGAGGACTAATAGTTTCAAAAGAAACCTTTTTTTTACATCTGGTCAAACAATCCAACCCTGTTTATTTTCTTAGTATGATTGTACAAAAAAGTTTTTAAACTAAATTTTAATTAATTTTGAAATAATTATCTAAGAATAATAAACTACATCAAATGCGACCTAAGCAGCTTGAATCAAATGAGTCTTTAAACTCATACAAATGTTACAGTGCTTTTATGAAATTTTTTTCGTGGGGCATTTTCCCCGATCTCAAATAAACGGCACCTATTAAATTATGACGTCGTGCCATAAAAGTTATGCCTGTCCTTATAGATAGGTTAACAATGCACGCATAAACCAGTTTTCTTTTTACAAAAATATTATATAAATATATATATATATAAATATATATTTACAAAAATATTTTTACCTTATTGATGTATTAAAAAACAATTGAGGGTTTTCATGTCAACCCAGTTGCACAATTCTTTTCTAGAAAATTGACTGCCGTGGAATTGTATTTTAAAATGATTAATATATTTCTAAAGACTAAGATTGAATTTTTAAAAGTTCACAACCACCATGTTAACAGATGTAGTATGTAATAATTTCCTAATTAATAAATTTCTTTAAGTATGTAATTGGATTATATTCTATTGAACCTAGAAAACCTAGGTTAAAATGATAAAGCAGCAGGTATGTTTAAAATTTTTTCAAAATTCAAGTTTTTAAAATACTTATTAAATGAAAAGAATTTCCTTATTTGGGGAATTATTTACTGCGTCGGCAGCCAATATAATGTCGGAATTTTCTTAATTATTCTGACAATTAAAGAGTGTATAGCTTATAAGAGAACGATTAAAATTTCCATTTGTAGCAAAGATGAAGATACATGAATTCTCAAATACTTGTGTATTTTTCATAGATAAAACTTGCATGATTTTTAAATTGACTATATTTGAATAATTAAAGAGATCAAACCTAAATATTTAAGCTTGAATTATATTTTTGGTTTGCGACTCTTCAGATTAATATCATTAACTTAAAAGACTTTACATCATTATAAATTCACAAAGGTATGAATTATTTTGTTGTACATTATTTTAATACATATTGTATGCAAATGCATGTGGATCAAATAGTTTCAATAAAATAACAATGCTTTTTAATGCACACATAAAAACTTACCATACTACAAGGACAAAATGCAGTGATTCCATCGCAAGTTTGATTGACAATTCCAAGAAAGATATTTGTGCTATGAATGTGCATGACCTGTATAGAAAAGAATAAATAAGTCACAGAGAATGAGTTAACTCATTTTATGATTGCAAAAAGATTTATAAAATTTTAATAGCAGTTTTATAAAATAAATAAACACATATATTTGATTTTGAACTCATTTTTGAAACAATATTGCAAAGANATTTTAAAATCACGTGAATAAGAATCACGATATTGGATTTTAAAAGCACGAAAATACAAATCGCGGTATTGAATTTTTAAATCGCGTAAATAAGAATCACGATGCATAATTTTTAGAGTCCGTGAATACTTATCGCAACGAGAAAAGTTTAAACCGAGTTTAATCGATGTTTGATATTACAACCGCGTGATAACGAATCGCAATATTGAAATTTTAAAATATATATGAATACGAATCGCGACATTGGATTTTAAGCTAGCGGGAATATGAATCGCGATATTGGGTTTTAAAAACGTTAAAATATAAATCGCGATATTGGGTTCTAAAAACGCTTAAATACAAATCGCGATATTGAATTTTTAAATTGCGTGAATGGGAATTGCGAGTAATGATTTTTAAATCGTGTAAAAACGAATCTCAACAAGTAACTTTGAAATCAGTTAAATACGAAAATCGATGATTTACATAAAAATCATCTAAATAAGAATCGCAATTTTAGCAGAATCTGGCCCAGTTCCTAATATTTAAAATTCTGTAAATCAGTCAATCAAAAGAAATCAAATATCAGCGGCCGTAACGAAACTGCTTAGGACTTTTTTTCTTTTTTCCAATCTATAGAGGAAGTCGCGGTTGTCAAGGCAACAAGTCGCAAGTCCGACTATATCGTTCGTTCGACTCCCCAAAACTTTTTGGAACATGGTCGGAAATTTTAAAAAGTCTTTCATCCCTGAAAAGATAAGAAAGTAGTCGAGTAGGAGACGGCATTGTTTTACCAAGGTTAACCACTTTTACCCCAGCCAGCAGATTGACATCTGAAGAAAGGTTTATTGGGGGCTTCAATACTTTCGCTCCGCGGAAGAAAAAAATTTTCAACAGAATATAATTTACTGCATAAAAAATTTTTCCACGCGGAAATTTATGAAAAAAGAGCGGAAGATATGGAAAAATCTGAAAAAAGCGGATACGCGGAAGAATCACATCCCTGAACTATGCAAGGTTAATGAAATGCATCAATTTAACATTTATGTAGTGTGATTTTGAATTGACATACACCAATGTTAAAATTAACTGAATGTTTTTCTCAAAACCTACATCCAGCCATAGAATTTAAATTTCTTTTCATCTTGAAATTTTCTTTTAATTTTCATTTAATTTTCTTTTCTTTGGATCTAAGTTTTTATAATGGTATATAGTTTAAATAGAATTATGTAAGAAAAACAAAAAAAAATTATTTTGCATACAACTACAAATTATTGACTTACAAATATTGAAATGTTTTTTTTTTTAAAAAAAGATTTATGAAAAAAGTAACAATTATTAATTATAAGTTTTTCTGTCTTAACTGAAGTAATATCTGATATTTATAGAAAAAATCTGTAATACATAAAATAAAATGATAATAAAAACTGCATTAGCTTTATAGTCGGATGAAATTTGCAAGCACAGATTCTGGTAAGAGTACCTCATAGTTGCCCCCTCCACAAAAAAAAAAAAAAAAAAAAACATTTTTTGGAACTGTATACATATGCATAAGAAAGGCAAAAAACTAATTTAAAAAAAAGTATAATTTGCTTGACTAAGTAAAGAAGAATTTCATTGCAAAAGAATAATAAAATATACTACACTTAATTTCAGAATTACTTTGTTCAGAGCAGAAAGTTTAAACAATACAAATGCATAATAGTTCAAAATCATTTTTATAGCATTAAAAATATCAATATCTAATTTTTGTTCAAGATCAATTAATTTTCCTTAATCAAATAATTTTAAGATAAGGTTTAAATGATCTCAAAATGAAAATAATAACTAGGCTATCTATCAAAAGTATTTTAGTGGACATTTCATAATTTAAAAATTTTATGACAAGATTACTGCATTGTTAATGATCATTTTTAAAATCAAGAACATGAGATGATGAACGGATAGCCGTGAAACTATACAAAACTCCATGCTTTGAGATTTCTTACTGCATTCCTGAAAATAATTTCAATCCATAAGCATAAAAATTTTTTAATGCAAAATTGTTATTTGAGGTTTTTTTTCTTCTATAAAATGACTGAATTCTCGAGAAGTACAAAATAATAAACCCTGAGAGTAAAGTTACATGCCTGAAATTTTATATATTGATAGACAGTCTCTAACAGCAGATGTTTGTTATTTTTATTAGCATTATTAAATCAAAATTATAAGCAAAACTAAAAAATTTTAAATTGATTATTTTAAAATTCAGAATTGCATTCTTAGAAAATGGGATGTTTTAAACCACAAAAACAGAATACCAGAACAGAACAAAATTGAGGAATACCAGATCAAAAAGTTAAATATCAATATACAAAATATTTTTTTTTATCGGGAAAATCAGGACCCTGCAATGCTGATTCTCATTAAAGTATGCAACTTAAAATTCGACAATTAACATCATTTTTACCTGTCATGAAAATAAAAGTTTTTTGTGAATGGCACTTTATATTTTATAAAGAAAATTTTTAATGTGTACTCATGGGCATGTTCTCTCATGAAAAGAGAAACCACATTGCTTGAACTCAGCATTATAGTTCAAAAATACTGAATATTGTATGAGACAAACCTGATATTTAGTGCATTGTTCACCAGGTACAAAGTTGGAAAGAATTGTGTCCAAGCTGGTGTTCAGCTATGTTTGGAAGGGGAAGAAAAAAAAAATCAGTTAGGCCAATGATCATACCATAATAATTAATAGCAATAAGAAATAAGAGAATGCACAAACCTGATAAAATCTTTGAATAGTTCTATCACTGTAGCTAGCGCATATTTTCTTTGTCACCAAATTTCTGTGATTCAGCATGTCATTTGCCACCAATGGTTCCTAGAATTGAAGTTTTACAATATATGTTTATCATACTGAAACAAAGTTCATATTAACTCCAAGTTCTAGTAAACTCTAAGTTCTCAATAATAAATATTAACAAATTTTAAAAAATGCAAAGTATGACATAAGTAAAAAAAAGTTATTTAACTTCTTTTTCAACTTTCTCTCGATTGATTACTCCCCCTACCTCAATGCTAAAATTGGAGAGATTTATTTTATGTTACATCATTAAAGTCGTTACCACTTAATTGCATATTGGATAAATAAATAATCCACTAACATGAATAAAATGTTATGGAACCAAATATGAAGCCAATGTTAAATTTCCTCATTTAAATGATGATTTATGGATGCGATTCCTCAATTAACTGCATGCACCAATAAAGTTACTTCTAACGAAATGTAATCAATGATCACTAAAATCAGTTTATTTCTTCAAAACTATATATTATTTACTAGTGCACACCCTTTTGTCATCGAATAACACAGTTACTGAGAGGGATGTAATGAATAGTGATTTGGCCGAACAGCCTAATACCGAATATTTGGCCATGAAAGCAGTCGAATATCAAATATTCAGAGGCTATTATTGAAAAATAATCAAAATTTAGCTACATTATTGGTATGGGGTAAACGGGGGAAAAAGCTTTAATAGTTATCCATTAGTAATATTTAGAATATATAAAAAAATGTCTGAATTATTAAAAAAAATTAAAGTTGTTAAGTTGAAAAAAACTGAAATAGAAAAGAAAATCCTTTTAACTCTTACAACAAAACTTTAATGTTAAAAATATTTTTTGGAAAAAAAGTATCTATAAAACATCAAATGAGAAATAGTTTATCAGAAACACTTAAAAATGCCGCACTATTATAAAACGCCAATAAAAAAAGATTACATACAAAAGCAAAACAAAAAAAAATAAATCTAAATTTTTGCACGAAAAGTTTAAAACTGAACTCCTCAGTTTTCCAATTACTGTATTTTCAAGAAAAAAGATTTAAGTCTAATAAAATCCTCTTAATTGCAGTGTCATAACAAAAACACTCTCAAACAAAAGATTTTCGAAAACAAAAAAACTAAAAGAAACCAAAAAAAAAAAGTAATTTTTTAACGAAAAATTTTACACTAAAAATCGCAATTTTATTGCTGAATTTTTAGAAAAAGAGGTGAAAGAAAAAATAATGTTCATAAGAAATAATTTTCAGAATATGCTGTGAAATAATAAAAACGCTGATAAAAAGAAAAGTTAACAAAAAAGAAGTAGAAAAAAAAATTGTTCTAAGTTCTTAAAATATTACTTTAATGCTGAAAAATTACAGTTTTCTATGTAATGTTTATTCAACTGTAAAGGAAAAAAGGGACAGTATAAGAATTCAGTTTATTAGAAAACGTTTCTTTAAAATGCAGGGCTATAATAACAGAAAACAGCAAAAACAAAATACACACAAAAAAAGTAAATGAAAGCAAAACCAAAATATTCTCAATTCTTAAAAGAAAAAAGGTTTAAAAAAATGACAAAATTGACATGCCTGAATATAATTTTTAAAAAAAATCATCAGTACACCCAGCTCAGCTCAGTATAAAATCATCTAATTTCAATTCTTCAAATTCTGCTCTCTCATTAGTTCTTTAGAGCATCAAGTTGCAAATTTTAGAACTTAATAAAGATGTGTAAAAACTATTTCTAATAATGTATGGTAAAAATTATGATTTTAGATTATTCTTTAATAAATCAATTAAAATTCAAAAAAAAAAAAAAAAAAAAAAAAAAAAAAAAAAAAAAAAAAAAAAAAAAAAAAAAAGGAATTTTGAAGAAAAATACTTTGACAAATATTTGGCCAACCGAATATTAATTACTGACTGGTACCCATGGTAGTTACAAGCATTATTACAAATATAATCCTGTAATAATAATACTTGTCCATAGCTGTATGTTACTCACTGCTGGGACAAGAAATGATCTTATCCTTCAGCATAAAGTTTGATCCAGGGGTCTGTCTAGACATTTTGTGAAAGGTCCGTTTTTCGTGAAATTGTGAAAAAATTACTCACATTCTTTCAACCAGGGTCCGCTTTTATGAATTTGTGCAAATAGGGTCCGTTATTGCAAAAAAAAACTTTTTCAAGGAGTTTTTAAATTGTAAAGACATACAAGATTATGCTCATCACTGTAAAATTATAATTAAAAAAATTAAATTTTAAAAAATAAACAACAATTGCTGCCTCTAAATTAGAGATGCAACATACAAATATTTGGTATTTAGCCTATACTGCTGAACGCAGAATATTCATTTCGAATGAATAATGGAAGAATCGTCTGCCGAAGACAAAACTAAATTCGTTTACGTCCATCTTTCTTGTTTTCTGCCCTGGAAAGGATTTATTCGATTAATAAAATAATAATGAAGATAAAAAAATTTGTGAAGGGTCCGATTAAAAGAAAAATCATTTTGTGAAGGGTCCGTTTTTAAGTTAAAATATTTTGTGAAGGGTCCGTTTTTATGAAAAAATGTTTTGTGAAGGGTCTGTTAACGGACCCAAATTTCTTCTAAAAAGACCCCTGGTTTGATCTCAGACAGTTATTAATACCAGCATATTCCTGACATAATCCAAATAATTGGTATAATAATACTCTAAAAACAGCTTTTGTTGAGTAATAATGTTATATTTGAGAAAATGGAAACACGTAAATCGATTTTAGATTATGATACATATAAATTTAGGCAAACATCTTAGTTAGATTACACGTAAAAAAAAAAGGAAAATAATTAATACTTATCTTTACTTTAAAAATTCATAATTCCTGATGCACATTATTATACTTAAATCATAGACATACGGTTAATATTGTTTAAAAGAAAGACAAAATTTACTTTGTGAGTAATATGTTGCTGTTCAACTGGGCCACGCCCACTTGGATCTATCAAATCAGGATGAGCCACAAGGTATCCTTTGTCATCCAACAAAAAGCAACTAAAATATACACAAGTAAAATTAAAAAAAAGGAAAAATGATTTTAAAATACTAACATAGTTATGATTTTACAGGATAAATTTCAAACATATGGGAAAACAAATTAAATATGCAAATAAATAAAAATTAAGAAAAATTACATTAATTATTGTAAATTCACTAAGTTTATGATTTTGTGAAATTTTAAATGTGGAGCTATTCTTTAGGAATATCTATCACTTTAAGGTCATATCACCAACTGGTGATGAGTGGAAAGCTTACAGGTATGCGCCAGAAGAAGATTTTTGTATGTTTTTAAAATAAAGTAGAACTGACCATTTAAATAGTTACCAAAAATTAAAAAAAAAAATAAATAAATAATTTTTTTTTTAAAACCTGATTATTCATTAAGTGGTGAAAGCAATTCCTGCATCAAGCAAGCTTTTTTTATACATTAAATAAATATATTTAAAAAAAACATGAATATGGTAACTTTTTACCTTGTCTGTACAATTACTGATGCATCAACTTCCATTCATTTAAACTCATCAGCACTAAAATCATATTTTTATATTGTATATCAGAAATAACTTAAAAGTGTGCCATTGTACAATACTAACGCTGTTTCAAGAGATAATTTAGATTGATGTTTCTTTCTTTGCACTGATAGTTTATTATTATTTCTTCACTTAACTTTTAATTTCATTATTTAGCTTTATAACAATTTACACAACAATAAATATTTATATGCATTAGGTTTCTGATGTATATAGATAAAATCAAGTGATTACCAAGTTTTAGAATTACTATAACTAAAAAAGCTATTGAACGATTTTCAGGGCTTGTATTGAAACAGTATATTACTTTCAAAATATTGCACATAAAAATAAATGCAAGGAAGTCTAAACTATTTAATAAAATGGATCTTACATCATATGGTCCTGCTGGCAAACTGGCAGTTTTTCAACAAGGAACTTATAAAAGTAACCAAAAGAGAAATCCAATCCCATCACAGCAACAACATTATCAGATGAAGTATGCAGAGCAGTAGGCCTATCAAAAGAATTGTTACTACAACAATAATAAATAAAAGAATAAAAAAGAAAGGAAAAATAATATTTTTTAAATAAAAATTATATCCATACAACCTGGAAAAAGAAATTTTTTTCTTATTTTAAAATAAATTAAACAGTTTAATAAAATTCTCTCAGAACATTTATTCTATATTCAATAAAAATTTATTACAGAGAAAATATAATTACAGCTCTTTTTTTAATGGTGTCTATTTAAAGTACAATACGATTTAATTAAAGTAATAACCAAATAAGTACAAAAATTACTTTGTAATACTTATCCCCTAAAGTTATTATACTATTTTCAAACCTTAAAATTAAGACTTTTTTTGTTCTGTTTTTAGGACTAAATTATTTTAATTACCACAATAGTTAAAGAGAAAATTTTTGTAAGTTATAATAATTTGGGTTGGCTGGTTTAAACCAATGTAGCTTTCTATAATTTTTTTACAGTTTCGTGTTTAACAGCTTTAAATAAATATAAATCTGCAATTTTTAAATGGATACATAGAATTAGGTTTCTACCACGTGAAATATATCAATGTAAGCAAATTTAAGATTAAATCATTATGTTTCTTTAAAATTTTTGAAATAAAATAGAGCATCACTAGTTTCATGTTGTGGAATTAAAATGAATTAAATCACAATCTTTTGAAAGAGTTTCTCAAACTTTATTTTTACCTACTTGTGGAGTAATCAACATACTAGGTTCAAGAACCAAAGTTATTGACCTGGCGAACTTGTAAACTTCTAAGTATATTCAATGTATTCTCTGTAATCGTTTTCCTGAAGTATAACGAACTGAACTGAATTTCAATTAAATGTAATGTATATATAGCAAAGTAAGATTTTGGTTCTTTCTCTCTTTTGCGCTTTGGTTTACGTCGATTCTTTTGTTCTACAGGTTTGATTAAAATCCTGGATGTTTTTAATTTAGTTGTTATAACGTTATGAAAACTATGTTTACATTTCGCATTTCACCTTTTTTATCTTTGATGATTGACCTATCTGAAATGTAGAATTTAATACATGCAATTTATCTCCCCACATCGGTGACCTTCAGGAGTGATGTGAACACGCCTACCGTGACAGAAATTCCCACTTCGATCAGAACATGCCTATTTTGATGGATGGTTCACATTCAACAGTTGGCTTGCTACCTGCGACTGCAGCATTATCCACCTTCTCCTGCTGTTGCTATTCAGTCTCGATCACACATAACGTACAACGTGTACGCACGACTGCTTAAGGCAGTGTTTCCTAAACTTATGACTTTTGTGAACCCTTTCTAAATTTTTCGTAATGCTGCGTACCCCAATAAAAAAATTTATGTATTTTTTACTATAAAAAAAATTGCACAAAAGTTAAATATTACAACTGGCTTTTGACAATACTAATTATTAAGTGTTAACTCAGCAAAAAATAGTCAATAGAAAAATACTTAATCATAAATTTTCATGGAGAGCTTTGTCAGCTTTGTTTTTAAATGAAATTTTTTTGAAATGTTCTTTTGTAGTAGGATATTTGCATAAGAACGCATACCCCCGCTAAACTGTTCCCGTACCCCTGGGGGTACGCGTACCACACTTTGGGAAACACTGGCTTAAGGCATCGCAGGAGCAACAACAACCGTGAAGTTAATATAGCTCTCATGATCAGCACTCAAAAAGTATGGTGATCTTAATACAACTAACCCGGATTTTCACAAAACAGCAATGAATCAACTAGTGGTATCCATTTACCGAATTCCATCACAGCTATGTTTCCTGTGGAGGAGTACTGTAGTGGGTCTACCACTACAAAAATACAATACCAATTCACTAGTATATGACACGTTAACTCGATTCTATGTTAGGGCACCTTTTCATAGATGAAGGTTGACATTGTCAATATCTACTCTCCCTACATACTTTTTTAATATTTAATGTTTGCTATAGTCGAAAGTATAAATTAGAAGGAAGTGCAATTTCAAGTTCTATTTTATTAGTTCAAGCAAAGAATTATTTTCTGTTACTCATGTAAACAAATTTGACTTGTATACATGCAGCATATTTATATTTTTATTGGAAAATTTTCAAATTACATTTTTTTATAATATCTTTAAGGTTCACACCAGTATGGTGACATGGCGATAATTGTCACTAAGTGTTCTAAAAATGTTGCTAAAATCATATGCATGAACAACAAATTTTTTATCTTGAAATATGTAACAAAATAGTAAGAAAAAAAATGTTTTTTTTTTTTGCATCGAATTCTATGCATTAAAAAAATAATAAATTTGGTACTAAATTTAATTGTTCTACTATTAATATTTTTATTTATAATATTATTAAAGTCCCTGATATCAATTCAAATTAAATAACTAAGAGTGTCTGGTGCAAAAAATTTTAAATTGAAATTTCAAATTTGAAACTCATGCATCGTAATATCGTATTAAAAATATTGGATTTATTAAAGCCATATGGAATTTCATAGCAATAACTGTTGAAAGAGAGGTCTGTGCAAATTGAGCACATCAAAAAGTCATAACTCAAACTTTTGATTCAAATTTTTTTTAAAAAAAAGGAAAATATAGTGTGTTTAAAAGCTCTTGCAGACCACACATCAACAGATGGCGGGCTGCAGGTTGTGCACCCCTACACTAAATGAATACCTAGGGGGTCTTATTGGACCACTAAATTTTCATTGTTGGTGTGAAACATAATTATATTAAAGAGGTTTAAGGAAAAATATTCAAAATTCATTTAAAATATTTAAGTATTTTTTTTTCTCATTTCTTTAATGCTGCAGTAACAATATTATTAAATTTAAAGCTCCCTTATGTTAGATATAATTATTAAGAAAAATGTAATTTGCTCCTTATTTTTTAAACCATTAGTACAGAAACATCTTTACTATTTTATATTTATTCAGCCTAGTAGTCATTTTCCCCCATCATTCTATTAATTAGAAATATTTTTTAATTAAAAGAAATATATTGTCTTGATTATCTCAGGTTTCTTTAAATTAAATTTGAATTGATTCAATAAATAGAAAAAACTGGAAAAGTTTAACTTATTACAGATAATTAATATTAATGCCCACAAATTGTATACTGTTAAATAATGTAATGATGCTGAAGTATGACATTTTTATACACATTGACAATCAAAGAAGGAAAACTAACTATTGTTGTTGTTGCTAATACCCATCTGGTCTGACGGGGTCAGACCAGATCAATGAATCCGTTGAGATTAAGAAAATCCGAAACCAGAATGGGAGAGGAATGAATGTCGTTCCAGCCAGCCCTAAACAGTTCAAGATGTGCTCAGGTGATGCCGGGTTTTGTTGGCATTTAGGGCAAAGAGGAAAGATCTTTTGATTTGCAGAAAATNAAGAAGAAAAAAATTGTCAGTGATGCTGAAATATGACATTTTTATACACATTGACAATCAAAGAAGGAAAACTAAGTTTTATATACTATAATAACATTTAGATATTGAATATTTATAATCCGATTCAAATAAGTTATCCTATTATTAGTAAACCTATTCAACAAATTGCTGAGCTTTGAACCACAACTTAATATTAATGTTTAAGAAAAGAGTGTCACTTACTTTCCTTCGAAAATTGTGAGACTCAGAGTTATGATGTACCCGGCTCCACCAACATCCAAATATGGAGAAGTGAGAATAATTTTACCAGGGTGCTCTAAAGCCCTAATGTACCAGTCACGCCTTGTTGGATCAAAGGACTTATCTATTAAAGTTGCAGGATAAACCAGGAATACTCCTGAGGATGTTGCGATAAATCTAAGATGGAAAAGAAAATAACTTGAAGACACACTACACTGACTACAATAGCTTTTTTTCAACATAACTTCATTAAAATAAAAAATGTTTAAGATAATTTATATTTTTTAAAAATATATTGCGTAATGAATGCAAAAATGGCATATTATTAAAATGGTAGAATAATTTTAAATTTTTAATACAAGCTTAAAGAAACATCTTTAAACAGACATTATCCATTAAAACTAGAAAAAAAGGTAAATGTTTTGGACAGTAAATACCCTACATCCTATACAAAACCAGCTTAGGACAACCAAAACAGAGAATCAATTTTGTCCTTATTTTTAAAAATGTGGCAATTATTAATTACAAAACTATATAAATTGAAACTTACATTGTGTTTCATAAAATGTAATTTAATAAAGATTTGGAAACTTAACACAGTTAATATTTAATCTCCATATCAAATTTAATTTTTTTAAAGCATTATTTTTTACTTTGATATTATTACAGAATTCCTGATATTTTTTTAATTGAAATAGTCTGAAATTAAGTTTTACATTACCTGTTTTAAAAACCAATGCACATTTCGTTGCTATATGATGAATATTATTGAATACAATTATAGGGAAGGAACAGCAATAGTACCATTATGGAGAAGAAAAAATGTATTTTGAAGCAAGTAAATTTGGTTTTCAAAGTTTGGTCTATTTGATTGGTGCAAATAGTTTTCAAGTTAAGCGCAGCAATATGCTTAAAAATTTACTTTTTGAACAAATTTGGACTTTCACATTTACATTTTATACCACATTCAACTGGGTTTAAAAAAATGCATTTACAAAAAAAAATATAATGTATTAGAAATGTAAAAAAAAAATCACCTAAATAAAAGAGTAACTGAGAATATTTTATGGGTTTCCTGCAGAGTAAAAAACCAAAAAATAGGCATAAACCATATTTAGGTAAATATGCATTAATAATTAGATGCCCATATGTGTATATAATTATATATATTACATACATACATAAACTGTAGTACACAGGTTTTATGTTATCCATTTTTTATGTTATCCCGTTCTTATGTAATTTTCTGCTGGTCATGTAATAAAAAAAATATAAACCGTAATACAAATTTGCAAACAATAATAAATATTGAGAGGGACATTGTGGAAGTTGTATCAAAAAACAAGAAACATGTAAAGATTAAAAATTTTTTTTAGTAGTCCATCTTTTGAATGTCAATTTTTAAAAAATATGTTAATATTTTTTTCACCCTGATTTTACATTATCCTGCTTTGTGCGTTTTCGTAAACGTAAAATCGGAGTTTCACTGTATGTATATATATACATATATAGTGCAATTTTTGATGATCTTTCAATTTTACAATAAAAAAAAGTAAATCTTAAACAAGAAAAGTGACACTTCATATATACATTTAAAAAAAAAAGATTTTTTGTTAAAATTTAACTATTATTTATTCTTTGATTTGGAAAAACAATTTTTTTTTTTTTGTAACAATAAATAGATTGATGATAACTTATAAGTGAGATTTTGAAACCAAATTACTAGCTCCAGAAAAATGTTCTTTGAAATTTAATTCCACAAACTTGTATCAATTGCTAATCTGTAACCAAAATTAATGAATATTTTTCAAATTTCTGAAAAATGCATCAAGTACTTTGAGCATTTTATTAAATACTAAATGGCTGGACATAAAATTGCTTTGAATCTCAACTCTTTTCATTTACATAAAAGTATTTCCCAAGATTTTTTAAACTCAGAGCCCTCTTTCTAGGGTGGAATGCTGTCCACCTATTCCTATTTGTCTACATATTAAGCTGAAAAATACAATACAAACAAAACAAACAATCATAATTTTTAGAAGACTTAAATACAAATAAAATAAAATAAATATTAAAAACATAAATGCTGTAAACACTAGCCTTCCTTTTTTTAAATTTTATTTAAAGCATAATTCTCAAATTATTCAGATGCTATTATTTTTTTCATGTATTATGCATTAGAATATAAAAAAAAGAACTTTCTATATATTTTGTGCTTTTAAATCAATCAATGCACAGTGTGCAGAAAATAAATAAAATATCCTGAATAACTTTTGATTTAATCATCGGACTCTCAAGTACAAGGATTCAATTTTATTTGTTTGAGGATATGAATTATTAGTGCGGACAATATTATAATTTACGGAAACAGACACAAATAGATATTCTCTTTCAATAAACATGCCTCTTTATATTCGACAAATTTGGATTTTCAATCTGAAAATCCAAATTGGAAATTGAATCCAGATTGACTATCCATTTAGGCTATCCGCAATCTGGCACATATGGTTCAAATAGTTTGTTTCGGAGAGCGGTGAGAAGTTTGGACCACTTAATGTAAATTTTACTTTTTGTGTATTTATGTTTTGTTTTAGTTCAAAAGAAAAATTAGGGCATTTTTTGCACAACCCATACATACTAGATCATTTTTAAGGAAGGGGAATGAAAGGCAAAAAAATTCGGTAATCCACTGATTTAAAAATTTCGTTTCGTAGGCATATTTCTTTAACTTTCCACAACAGGAAAGAAAGTAAATCATGGGCAACAAACAACATTTTCAAATAAAAAATTAAGATAAGAACAAGTTGTTCAGAAATGATTTTTAAAAAAGGTGTGATTTCGGCTTACATACGTGAAAAATCCTGGAACCTGAAACTTACTGATTTCAGAAATAAATTTCTCAATATAAAGATAGATTGAAATAAGTTAAAAAGAAAACTGATAATCATAGTTATTTTCATGCAACAATAAATTACGCCAAAATTAAACTGCATATAATTTACATAGTAAAGCATAAATGTACACAAAAATAAAAAAATCATGAGAAAATTGTTCTATACACTGTAACCTGCATGCAAAGATCATCAAAATAAAAAACTAAGAAATTAAACAATCACATTAATAATTTCAATAATAAATTAATATAATTAAGTAATTTTAATTTTGCAAGAAATGAAATGAAATATATAATAAATGTAAAACAATGGTATTCACTGCAATTTGATCGACAAGAGAAAAAAATTGTCAGGAAAACTGCTGAGTTACTTTTTCATAAGATGACTAAAAGACTGAAACAAGATTATATGTATGAATTAGTGAACGGTCTTTAAATTCGAACTATCCTAGGCAGGGGATTTATTAGAAGTATTAAGTTATCATTATTAAATAAAATAAAAAGATGATACAAGCATTCCAAAATTTTGAAGTGTATATCCAAAACAATACAAGCCTTTTAATGACTAAGTTCAAAACTTATTAAAATAAAACAATAATCATTAAAAAGAGTGCCTGCAATCTGAAAATAAAGTGCTACACTTAATTTAATATTTAATATTTTTAGATAATGAAAGCTTGGAAATTTTATTTTATACAATAATTATGCAAAATTGAAGACATTGATGGAAAAAAAAATTGACACTCAGCTTTTAAAAAATAAAAAAATTGTATATGTAGGATTATCTCGATTACAATATAAGAAAATGCCTGTAAAAAAAACCAAAATGACGCACAATGTTGAGTTCCTTTAACAATCATTCTAGGTACAAAATAATAATTAAACTTACAATATTTTATACAACAAGAGCTGCAATAGAATACTCACAGCAGTATTTAACTTTTCCATTAAGCGTATTTAAGATTTCATTAAGTGCAAGGTTAGATTCCTCTGTAGAGAGAGAGGAAAAAAAATTGTAATGTAGGAGAAAGGTTTTATTTGTTTAAAAAATTTGCTCCTTTTCAGTAGTGAAACACTTGCTGTATGTGAACTTGGACATATTGTAGGGTCTCGTACTGACTTACGACGTTAAAAGGTGCATAACAAAAATAAAAAAACAATACTGAAAAAAGGATGGCATTAAGAAATTTTTTGTTCCTATACTGATTAAGAATAATCAGTTAAAACAGCCTTTAAAATTCGATTTCTTCGGAACTCTTCGACCTATTTTGTTCGAAATTTGCATTTTGTGATAAAAAATTACTTTCTTTAAAATAATGTAAGAATTTTTATACCTTACAATAAAATTTTTTTCAACTAATATTAAATAAAATAATAAAAAATTATAATTATTAAAAATAATATTTTTCATGGAATTATCTTTGGACAAACCAATTTCAAAATTTAATTTTGAACAGAAATTTTTCAATTCACTTAAAAAGTTCTTGATATATTAGTGAAATAAGCAAAGAGTAAAATTAACATTAAGGGGTCCCAACTTTCGACCACATTCCTGACAAAACTGTTGGGACTATATTTCTCAGATAGCAGCTATTCCCTAAATTTTCGAGGTCAGGAATCATAATTGGTCGAAGGGAAGATATGCTTATTCAGAGAAAGTAGAAGTGCGATTTTGTATCCAATTACGTAACTTAAAATATCGCCTGAACTAATTAGTTATTTAGTTGTCTGAACTAATTAGCATATTTAGGGCCAATTCCTTAAATCATTTAGATTGAGATCAAGTATGTAAAAATCCATTCTTTTGATCACAAGTCATTTAGCATGTTTTCTTTATATTTTTTGCGAACTGCTCATACGGGCCTTCTGAAAAATTTTACAGTTCATTTTTTTAAAGCTGTATACATTTAGTAGTCACAGAATTACTAATAACTAAGGCCCGGATTTTGATGACATTTGCATTTTTTTGCATTTTTGGACATTTTTTGTCTTTTAGAGCATTTTTTTTAGATTTATAAGGCATTTTTCTTTACATTTTTGGGCGTATTTTGCATTTTAATGCATTTTTTAAAGTTTTTTGTTAATTTTTCCAATTTTTATTATTTTTTATCAATTTTCATTATTACACTGGCTTCCAAACAATGAAGAAAATCTATAGGATATTAACAGGTGAAGCAAAATCTTTTCAAATTGAAGAAGAATTGTCAGTAAGTGAGACCGTCTTTTTCAAGTACGCACCTATAACATCAGTAGACGTTGAAAGAAGCTTCTGCAGGAATGAAAATTTACTTTCAGACAAGAGACGCTCGTTTACATTTCAAATTATCAAAAAACATTTAATAATCCAATGTAATTCTGATATTTAGTAATATTATGAGATGGAAGTTGTTATATCCATTAAAGTTTCTATACAAAATAAAAATATTTTGGTGTCAATATATTTTCCTTTTTTTGTTATTTTAGGATATAAAACATATTTTTCAAACTTTAATGAACGTAGAACAAGTATTGCATTGCTTTATATTTTTTAAATGACTCATAATAATTTTAAAGAGCAAAACATTTTTTTAATTCAATATTTTTACTTTATTTAAGGCATTTTTTGCGCAATTTTTGCATTTTTAAGGGCATTTTTTGCCCTTTTTAAGGGCATTAGTTGAGATTTTTTAGGTCATCAAAATCCGGGCTCTACTAATAACACTTGAGTTGATTTTGCAGTAGATGAAACTAAGAGCTTTGAACCTGCTACATGAGCTACCATGCAGAACCATGACAGTTTTTTTTAAAAAAATTTCGTCAAATATTTAAATTTCAAATATTATTATCATTATTTTTTTATATTTAATAACTGCTTTAGCAACATTAACACTACTTAAAAATCTATAAATAGTACAATTAGATTATAGATTGAACCATGCAAAACAAAACAAAATTACCTTCGCACAATATAATCTGAAAACTCATCATGATGTAAAGCATCTTGCCAGGCCGGTGTAATCTGAGTTAAAGCAAGAATTTCACTTCTTATACCAGGCTGAAAAAAAAAAGAAAAACAGTTTAAATACATTCAGTGCATTGATTCAAATTACTTGATTACATTTCAAAAATGCTTTTAAATAAATAACTTAATTAACAGCTGGGCTTAATTAAAGCCTGCTTAATGTTATTGAAAAGAAAGTGAAAAAAAAGAGAGTAATTCCATTCCATAAATATTTTTTAAGGATATAAATTTAAAAAAGCGAAGTGAATTTCAAAACAGGAATTATGTTTATAAATTATCCCTATTTTATAAATAACATACCGATTATGCAAAATAATCATCATAGATACAAAATTTAACCAAAAAAATTATTCCACGTTTTGCTAATTTACAGCCCAAAGAGCCTAAGTTTGTGACATGCAACTTAGAACAATTTAAACGTTCCAGCAGTACAATTAGGTCCAAGGCGCAATGAAAATTTTGTATGTAGATTATAACGTTTATTTCCCTATGTAGGCATTTATACAAAATTTGATAATTATTTAATAAATGCTTGTTTTTCCTTTCCTTTTTCTCTTTGCAATTTCAAGGGTTAAATTATTTATCATTTTATAGATATGATATCAATTTCATAAGTGAGTAGGGTTGTCTAACCAACAAAATATATTTCAGATTATCTATATAACAGAGTTTAAATAAAATCGAATTAATTTACTAAAGTCAGAATATTTCTCAGCTAGTTCTTATTTAATAAAAATTATAAGACGCTGTATATTGATTTTATTTATTGGTTAGCTTTTGAAAATAAATTTAAAGTTACTCTGTTACAAATTTAGTAACAAAATTATTTCATGATCTTCAAGTCTTTAAGACGTGTTTGCGCCTTCTCTCCCTCAAAAAATAACATCCAATTTAGCCCAAAAAACACTTTTTAAAATTGATATCCTCAGTTCAGGATACATGAAAAGATATTTACGAGAGTCTACCATTTTCATGTATTTATGATGAGTCATTGAGTCTATCAATCTGCAAGCAAAGTAATTATCTTCCTTTTAAATGTATGAAATAATAGATCTTACAAACAATTCCTTTCTAAAAGTTTTCAGATAAACTCAAATCTGATATGGAAGGTCTATATGCATGCTGATGGACTTCACATACCTACATTTATATTTTTCTATTATATATAAACCCATAGAGTTTTTCTGAAGAAGTGTGCTGGAACATCTACAAATGTAAGTTTTAGATAGAATCGTTCAAAAATATAACTTTGAAAATTCTATTTAAAACTAAACATGTAAGAAACCCTAAGCATTTTTTAACTTCATAAAATAAACAATTTCGTTAATTAAAATACTAACATCTATTAACATAAGAAAAACTATTTTTTATTAGCAGGACTGTTTAGCATGTAATAGTTCTTTATAAAACTATAACTATGCATATGAAATCATTGCATGCTTAGACCAAACAAGTGAAGTCCGACTTTGAAAATTAAATTTATATGAAACACTACAGGTAATAGATNACTTACAAGAGTCTACCATTTTTATGTATTTATGATGAGTCATTGAGTCTATCAATCTGCAAGCAAAGTAATTATCTTCCTTTTAAATGTATGAAATAATAGATTTTACAAACAATTCCTTTCTAAAAGTTTTCAGATAAACTCAAATATGATATGGAAGGTCTATATGCATGCTGATGGACTTTACATACCTACATTTATATTTTTCTATTATATATAAACCCATAGAGTTTTTCTGTAGCAGTGTGTTGGAACATCTACAAATGTAAGTTTTAGATAGAATCGTTTAAAAATATAACTTTGAAAATTCTATTTAAAACTATACATGTAAGAAACGCTAAGCATTTTTTATCTTTATAAAATAAACAGTTTTGTTAATTAGCATAATAAAACAAAATCATATTCAAACAATAGAAGAATGTCTACTTAAATACACATCAGTATTAATAACATCTATTAACATAAGAAAAGCTATTTTTTATTAGCAGGACTGCATATAATAGTTCTTTATATAACTATGCATATGAAATCATTGCATGCTTAGACAAACAAGTGAAGTCTGACTTTGAAAATTAAATTTATTTGAAACACTACAGGTAATAGATTTCAAAAGAGCTTTTCATATTTAAAAATCAAAAACAATTTTATTTCTTTCAAACATAAAATATTACCTTAAATCCAGGATTTGGCAGGTTACGATCAGGATCTTTGAAATATGCCATATAGCTAAATATTTTTAGCAAGCTTTCATCTTCAGTCAAATAGTTATAGGGTGAGACAAAGCATGATGCAGATAGGAAAGCTCCCATAGTACCTAAATTTAACACAATGAATGATCAGATTGGCAAATGCAAAACATCGGTTAACCTCATAAAAAAAATTTCTTTTAATTCCTAGTGAATCTCCTTTAGAAAAACAATTATGTGCCACTCTTATAACATGCCCTCAAACATTACTTTTAAACTCTTTAAACTGGATACCACTTTTTTTAAATTTAAAAAAAAAAAAAAAATTACTTTCAATTCAAAAAAAAAAAAAAAATTATTCAGAACTAAACAACTAATTATTCCCCTGTCACCTTTATCAAGAAAGAAAAAATGGTGCTGTGCATGTCAAATATTTTGAACAGTAGCATCTTTTAGACTTTCCATTGGGATGACAGTTAGACCCCATAGTTAAATTATGAAATCCTGCAAGTTGAAATGACACATTAAATTATCTCGATACCCCACTGAAATTTCCTTTCAATGATTCAATTTAATTAGTTTGATCAATGCAACTGGATTAAAAAAAGAATGGAAATCCACTAAAACAAGATATTCATATAACATTTAGACTGAGTTTAATTGTGAATGCAACAACTCAATAAGCGTCTTACAGGTAGGTAATGTCTATGTATCAAGGAGGCATTGCCAGGTTTATTATTAAGCAATGAGGAGATGTTAAGGGGGAGTAAAACTATTGAATGGAACTGACTGGGATGTAGGAATACAAGTGTCTATTCAGTATCATATGGCTAACTTCAATATCTGTTTAATTAGGAAAAACATTTTCATTTCGTTGCATCTTCATCTGAAATTATTTGAGACAGAAAAAGCAAAAGATCCTTATTCTTGAGAAAATCTCTCTTCATTCAACAATGTCTTTCAATGCTTTAACTCAGAAGGAAACAAGTGAAGTTTTAGAGTATTACAAACATCAAAAGACTGTCTTCAAACATAGGGTCGAACACTTTAGAGAAAAACTAATGAAAGCAACGTGCGAAAATGGAAACAAATTAGAACATATTCTGAAAATCTGGATTTACAGATTTGTTTTTAAAAATGGTTTCCTCAAGTTAGAAGAACAAACATTAAGTATCAGATCCTATGTTACAAGAAAAGGCTACAGAAGCCGTTGAGAAATTAGGAATAAACTACTTTAAGTAAGATTCCGAATTCTAGTGAAGTCCTGAAGGAGGCACAGGATTTAATGCTGATAACTAGTGAGAAATGGAAGTCAATAAGCTCAGAGTCTGCTTCTGTGGATGCTGGCACGGTTGAAGAAGAGTTGGAGAAACTACCTTCTTTATTTGAGGCACCTGAAGACATATTAATGCTGATGTCTTTTTTTTTATTGACCATTTTTGGAGAAAACTACATGCTTAGAAGAAGAAAAATGTAAAGTAAGGTAAATGACTTTACTTTATAGAAAAAGGTGTTTTGAAGGAATAAATTTATTGAGGCTGGGAATAAAAAGGAAAGCAAATAGATCAGCATGGGTGACTCCAGATTTAATAACTGAATGGTTGCTTGAACTTGATCGAAAAATGGGTCACAAAGTTTCATTCGCAAGAAACATTCTAATTGAAGCTAAAAATTTTATAGGTAGTAACTTGGAATATTTAGTTTTTAAAAATTTTTTTTGCCCCAATGCCTCTTCATTTTAAAAATCTCCAATACATATTAAATTGACTAAAGCTTACTGAAGAAGAATGTAGTGTAATTTTTCTAACATCCAACAACAGACTAATGAGTTAGTTTTAATCTTCCAGTATTTAAATGTTCAAATAGCCTCACAAAAAAGTGGTTTTTGTTTATTTTCCCTTGTTTTGATATTTTTAGTGCATTATTACAATAATTTGCTTCTTTTTTCTTTAAAAACACAATAGCATGCTTTATATTCAAGTGAAATTTCCACAGATTTTTTAGATTACCTATTATTTATTTAGATTCACTTGTTTTTTAATATGAAAAAATAAAAATAGTATTTGTTTTTTTTGGGGGGGGGGGCGGAGGGGGTATAAAACATTAAATGTGTATTCAAACATTAAAAAGATTAATTGCTCACCTAGAGAAGATAATTGTTTCATATGTCTACATGTGTTGGAGGTGGGAAGAATATCGATACGATGATATGAAAAGTTGACAGAGTCTGAAATGATGTTATTTTTTAAAGTCTTCTGAGGAGGAGTTGGTTCAAAGGATACCACAACCACAATATAAGGTGATCTTTCAATCTAAAGAAAAAGAACACATTAACCAAATTTAAAAAAAAAAGTAAACAAATTAACAGCTGGGGTCGTAGCCTTGTTCTGATAAACAAAGATAGTGCTTTTAAAGTAAGCACTGGTAATTAGTATTTGAAGAAATTATTCTGATTTTTATATTTTATCAACTATTTTCCTCTTAAATAGGCATATCAGACAATTTTTTACACATGTTTTTAAACGTATTATTAGTTGAAGTAGCAGATAATTACTTACAGAAGTAGACGACAAATCACTAAACACTTTTCTAACCACTCTGAAATTTAAAACCTTTACTATATATGAGTTAAGAAAAATTTTAACTAGTAGATATGAATAAAAACGAACATTTATAAGCAATGAATTTCTGTAAATAAATACACACAAGATAATTAGTTACGAAACTGAGCTTCCGAGAGTCTTTAGGCAGCTGCCAGAGCTTTTCAGGGATTCATCAGCCATTTTGGAAAAACCAAATAGTTTAAAATTCTTAAGCATTTTGAAAAATAAAATTGTTACTGTCTCATTAGTTAAACAGTATTAACTTTAAGATGTTTACACAAATTTCAAGTGCATGTAGACAAAAATCTGCTTTATTGTTTGAAATCTTTAGTGCCTGACTCTTAGATAAGATATAATAGAATAACATGGTTTTATGAAATGATTTTTAGCAATTTTAGTTAGTGATAAAAATAAGTTTTGAATAATATTAATGAGCACCTTTAATATTTACAGCTATAATTATTTTACCAAATCTTAGTTTAGAGATAATTTTATTAAAATATAATATATAGATAATTTTATTCAAATTTATTAATGAAACACTCTTACCTTTTTCCAGCTAAATATTGCAACTTTCTCAACCAAAGAACCATCTTTTATCATAACCTTTTTAGGTGGATTGAAGGACACAACTTGTTTCCCACTAGGTTCTCTGAATAGAAGAAATAAGCGATTAATATAATGCTTCCTAAAAACTTCTTGCTTTTACTTGCACAAATACAAGAATTATTACTGCAAATAATACAACTTAATTAATTGTTTTTCAGCGTAGAGAGATAATTTCCAAAAAATGACTGTGACTTCTACTTTTGAATGTGACAGAACCGTGGTACCCAAAGGATGCTCCGTAGTCCATTGAAGAGTCACAGGGTCCAAAAATTGGTATTTTTTTTAAACCAGTAATGATTTTGGAATCCTGTAATTGTATTTATACCTAACTGTTGATATATTTATTTTTTATTTTAGTAAATTTTTATTTTTTATTTTAGAACATTTTAGTAACTTTTATGAAATTATTTAACAAAAACAACTGTGAAACAATAAATATTTATCCAATTACAATATATTGAATAAATTATGAAAAAGATGCAGGGATGTCAATGTTCAGGTAAGCTGAAGAAGACCACTTTATCATAGTCAATGATCAACCATTTTGCAGCATTAAATACTCTTTATAATATACATTATATAACAAGGAATAATAAGGAATTGATGGATATATGAAATATTTATTAATACAATATTTCATAAATATTGTATTAAAGTGCAATTAAAATATGAATTTTAAAGATGTGCTCTTATAAATAAAAATTAAAAGAGCATCACACATTATCTGTATTTATAATGCCACGACTTTGGCCCAGAATTCAAGTTAATTCTACTGCAAAAGACTAAATAGCTTTTCACTAGAAACATTGCTGTGTGGGATCAGAAATATCTTCATTAGAACAATTTTCAGAGTGTTGTACTTAAAACAAACTTTCTGATCTTTGACTTTCCCTATCTATGGGGAAAGTAATTTTTAAGGTATAAAAAACTTATGATAAAAATTTGATGATTGAAGTAGTATGATGTAGTTGAAGGAAAGCAATATTAGTAGAATACTGAAGATGATAATTATTACTAGTTTAAAAAGAATTGGTGAGTGTTTGAATCATTTTAGGAATTTATTATTATCGATTTGTCCGATTATTAACTTGTCCAAAGTGATGAGCAATTATTTATCAAAATTTCATTAATTGCTTTTAAGAAGATGAGATAAATAATAAAAATGGCCAGGAAGAATCTCAGGGTGCGTAGCCAAATCTTTCAACAAAAAATAAGCACCTTTTAAGTACTTTTTAAGCACTCAAAAAATATTTTTAAGCACTATATACATTAATAAAATGCAAAATAATTTTTAAAAGACTTTACCCGATCATAATAAAATAACCAGTGTCTGACTAAGAACTGTTTTCTTGTTTATATTAGCCATTATAAAAAGATGAAAAGGTTTTCCGGTTCGACATCAGACGGTGGAAAATGAAGCCTGAAATTGTGAATATCTCGCAAAATGCAACAGAGTTTACATGAGGGTGCAAGAATCTCGCCAAACCTCCCTGCTTAGTAGATGCACATAAGGACTTTCAAGGATTTCATCAAACATGTAAAATGATTGACGCTTTCATGTGCTATGGACCAATGGGACACCCAAATATATTGAAATTGAATGAATTGTGAAAACTTTGAATTGAACAATGTGAAAAGCATGTCTTTGCTTAATATGTGGAGAAAATCGACATGGTAAAGAAAAAAAATATCATTTTCGAAAAGGAAAAATTAAGCACTTTTTAAAAACACTCAATGAAAAAAGCACCTTAAAGGGCTTTTAAAAAACGAAAGTCAAAAGTAAGCACTTTTTAAAAGCGCTACGCACCATGCTTCAGTATTAAACCCCACGTCCATCAAGCAATTAAAAATATGAATGTCAGGTATACATTAGTATAGTTTGCCAAGGAAAGTTAATGAATCCATGTATCAGCTATTAATTGATAAAATTTATCGCTCTTTTTCTTAGGCAATCAAATGTGTTGGTGGAGAAAGTGTGAGAAATAATAACGAATTTTAATGAATTCAAAACATAAGCAACCATATAACGGTTTTCGAAGCAGGCAGATGTAAAGGGAATCTCTAAAAATAGATTTAATTCTACACTCAATTGTGGTATTAAAAAGATTTAAATAAGTTAATCATTTAGTTTTTAATGTTAGGAAATATGTTACACATATATTAGCATGACACTATCATAGTTTAAACTTCAGTAGGTTTATTACATTTTACAATATCCACACTGAAGTTATTGACTTGATAGAGTGCAATTCTTTGTTCACTTTTTTGTAAGTCAGTAAAATCTTCATAAAAGAGATCAACAAAATAACCTTCAAGCATCATATTGATATCAGCAACTTCAGTATACAATAATCTTCAAGTGGAAATTTTTCTGTGATGTATTTGAATGATTGAGAATAAAATGTCTGAAACTTTGATAAAATGCAAACACAGCATCTTCAGTTAAAGAAATTTCCTTGTCTTGCTTCATTCAACTTTTTTGTTTGTTTTTTTTCCTCTCCATTGCAAAATTCCAAATTGAGAATACTTTTTGCTCCATCAACCGAAAGTGGTAATATATAGCGTGCAATTAACTTAGTTAAAAGCATTTCCAAATCTCTCCGAAGACAATGGTTCTTCAGTTTGCAGAAAAATGTTCACAGAAAAGCAATAAAACAGCTTGCAAGAACAAAAGATAAAGTTTTGTTCTCAGATCCTTTCACATTTATCAGATTTGAACCATTTTCCCTTAAAAAAAAACAGAAAGACAGTCCTAGTGTTCTAGAAATCTTTCAATAACATTGAGCAAACACAGATATTTTGTGGTCACATATTTTAGTATCACATGCTCACAAAAGCTCTGGCAGGCTTTCTTTTTTTAAATAATAAAATACAACAATAAAAAAATATTCAACATTCATTTGTAGCTCCCTTCTTTTTGCAGTTAAATGTAACAAATAACAAAAGCATTGACATGCAATCATTTTTGAATTCTTTTCAATAAAAACATTGTGCTTCTAATAAAAAGTCCTTTATACTTTCCAACCATAGATTAAGCATTACATATGAAAATGCTCAAGGAATATATCATTTTGCAAGTTCCTCATTAAGCAGGTGAAACATATTTTGTCTCGTACCATCACTATCACACTTTGACAAACTTCACAGTCATGGAGTTATTCTATCATCATCGATAATGCTTACAATTAGAGGAATATCTTAACTCGAGAATGAGAATCACTGGCATCAGAAACAAGCGGAAAAAAATTTAAAAATAGCCATTAGCTCATTGTTAATATTTATTGTTGAACAATAAATAACAGCAGTCGTTCTTGCTCAGCTATATTTAGCAACTATACCCAAATCCTCATAAAAAAATAATTTTCCTAGATAAAGGTCGCACATGATCAGAGACAGCATTATGTTCCAAAACGAAATTAGCAAATCGGGCCATGTCTTAGCCCGAATAACTCAAAAATCATCTGATGAAGAAGAAAATAATGCAGTAGTTTTCTGGCTTAAAGCCCATTTCTCAGTATTTTTATTTTTTTATGCTCTTCACAATCCACACAACATCTACAATCACACGGTTCACCCTTTGCAAAAGTAGAATAAGCATAACACAATATCCATAATTCTCAGACGTTTTTGAGCATTTTAGAACAGGAAATTCTTTTATATAATCATCTTTGAAAATAGATTCTTTTAAATGGCATTAAGTAGTTTTTTAAACTTCAAAATACGCTTTACAGTTAACCAGCCAGCGATGAGAACAATGTTTGATAGAAATAAACTTTGCAAGTGCTACATTTTTTCAGCCTCAGTTGCTCTGATCACAATGCCCAAATTACATTCTGACTACAGAGTTCCCACTCAATTTCAGAAAAAAAAAAAAAAAAAACTCTTGACTTTTCCAGGTATAAACTTCAAGGAAAATTGAGACCATATTTTCAACAGAAAACTTTAATTCTTTTATTTGTAATGTGAAATATTAGATTTTTTATGTAAAAAGATATCATTTAATGAGGAAGGGAACATTTCAGTTTGACTAAAAATGTGAAATTTTTACAACAAATAATTGTAATGGATGTTAGAACTATTTAACTCGAATCTCAATAATTGATTACAGTTACTGACAATTTTAAGACTAGTTATTTTCCAGGTATGGTATAGGATTATTCCAGGTTTTTGTAAAAAAATTGCAACTTTCCCGGATTTTTGGAGTAAAAATGAAATTCCCTGACCAGTGGGGGAACCCCTGACTAGTGTGTTGAGAATTAAGGCATCTACTCCAAAGACATGACGCATTGCATTCCTACTGTTACCCAAGCAAATGCAGTAACTTCACAAAACGGAAGAATGAGATCTTGATTTTTGCATGGATTTGCATGTGAAAAAGCAGAGTATTATGAAAGCTGTGCAGTGTTCAAATGTTAAAAATGGGGAAACTCTGCTGAAAGCGAAGCAATTGGCATGCCTGAAGATGTGCAGTTATAAAAAATTGCAGTGGTATTTTCCATCCAACTTTTAGATTAAAAACAGTTTCAATAATAAAGAAATGTGCTTTTCTGATAACTATTTTCAACCTTTATAAAAGCTCTTTTTTGTCTTTATTTTTATGAAAACCATAAATTAGCTCATTTAATTCCTTTTGAGATTATGCATGCACCAAAAACTAATTCAGAATAAGATTTAATGCTGCTCAAAAGCTATGCATGCAACTGTCTAACATAAAGTCTAATTTTAATGCTATTATTGATAAAACAATGAAAATCAATTTCATGGTTCAAATTAAAATTTTTTAAAATAATTTAAGACTTTTTTTGCTTATTTTTTAATAAACTTTATACAGTTGGGGTTTTGTCTAACCAATAATAGTTTGATAGATGGAGCTCTGTAACTAGATTCAAATTGTAATCCATTGTGATAGAAAAAATCAACACAAAGATCTTGTTTCTGGTCACAATGACTATTAAAAACAAATTAACAGTCTCTGCAAGTAATTTGTAAAAAATAAAATAAAGGTGACTTTAATGACTTTTAAAATATTTTCAAAATTCAGTAATTTACCTTAAAATAGCATTATAGTTTATTTCGAATCCATTCTTGTCTTCCAGGTGCCAAATATAAGTGTGAATATGATGCCAACTTGCATAGGTTGGGTGGCTAAATGATGGATGTGCAATTGCAACACCTGAGGGTATTGAGAAAAAGCATTAAATCAAATATTTCACTGACACATTTTAAATCAATTAGAGAATTTAACTTAAAGATTTAAAACAATACTGTTTCACCATGCAAAGAAATAATTCAATGGAGAACTTCAATATTTTATAAAAAGGTTTATAGCACAAAAAACATTTTTGCATTATTTAAAAACTCATTATGTAGAGAATTTAATTTTTTTACATTATATTACATGCATTTTTACTCGGCTTGGCTGAGTTGAACCCAACTGTATTTCTCTTATAGAGAAAAAAAAATACAGGATCAGGATTCCCAGATTTTTCCAGGTTTACCAGGTCAATTTACATAAATTTTTTAGTTAAGGCAGCAAAATTTTAACAAAATTCATACTGAATAAAAAGATAAATTACATTTAATGCAAAAAAAAACTCATCATATTCATATAATAAAAAATAAATTCAATGCGTATCATTATGGCAAGGACTTAAATTAAAATTAGCAATTTAAATAATTTGTTTTTCAATAACAGTCAAATTGAAAAAGCAATGTAAAAATTAATTACAATAATTTTCTATGCTCTAGATTTCAAGTTGTGAGAACAAGAAATGTATTCTTTCTGAAGTAATAAAAAAATCTTGAGCTTTTAAAGAAACTAAAAAACTTCAAATAAACACTAATTATCATCAAGATTATTTAGAATGCAAAAATTCCAGGTACTTGAATTAAAAAAACTCAGGTTAATTAGTTATTTTGCCTAATTTTCTGTAAAAAGTACCATGCTTTAATAAATAAAGGGGGGGGAACCTATAATAGTTCATACTTAAATATTTTAAAGATAAATAAATAATAATAATAAATAATAATAATAAACTGAAATAATAATGAGAGAAATAATACAGAAAAGTAACTGGATTTTTTTTAATGGTTAACACTTCTTTAATGTCAAAAATTTCTGTTTTCATTATTAATTTAAATATTATTTTTGATAAAAACATGCGTGAAATAGGAAGAAAAGGAACATAAAATCATATTATATACCTAAATTAGTAAATGGCTCTCAGCAAAATGAATTCAATTAGTTCAATGAATTAATTTAAAAATAGCTATATAGACATAGTCAAATAAAAAAAAATTGAGCTAGCCTATTTAATATATACATAGAAAATAAAAAATAGAGTTAGCTAAAGCCAAGTGTGAAAAATAGGGAAGACCTTTTAGTTTTTCTTTAGGTATAATCTTCTGACAGTTAAGAACAGATAACACAATTTGAAGAGTAAAACACACATACATTGCAAAATTTATTTTCCCATATTGTTAGGAAAAATCTTCTTCAATGAGTCTTACTTCCAAAACTGCCAGAAGGTTAAAGCAAAAATTTACCTTCCCATAAGTTTTAGATCTCCTTAAATATGTCTAGGTCAATAGATTATCCAGAGATGCAATAAATAAACAGGAATTACATAGAAACAGATTTATTAGGTGAAACTACCTTGGCCACTTGAGCCACTATGACCCAGTGGTTAAGGCTAAACTGTCATTGTGAAGAGCTGGGGTTCAATCCCTACTGACAGCTTGAAGCCCAACCTGCATCAGATCAGCTTGTTTTGGAATGGCATGTGCAATGCTGACCACATTGCCATAATCATGCTGTTGGCCACAGAATTGTGGAGCCTTAACCTCCATGAACCTGCTGGCCCACAAGGGGCTGTTGCAGGAATGCTTTACTTTACCATATATAGCCCATTAGTGCCCCAATTTTTTTTAAAATGAAAAATGCTAAAAAATGCATCAATAAACAGATGGATTATTTTTTATATAAACAGAAAAATGCCTTTTTTTTACGTTAAAAAATTTTTCCAATGGCAACACGTAACTGAATATTAAATTTAAATATTTTCTAGAAACATTTTGCATTGCATTTCAAGTTTTTATGAACTTTTACAAATAAAAAGTTAACACTAAAAAGCATGCTATTCAGGGTTTAGTGCATTATATTGAGACTGTTGAAACCATTTTGAATATAGATTCAAAATTTGCTACAATTAGCAGTAACTACCTTAGCCTATTAACATTAAAATGAAATTTCTAACCACATTTTCCTTCACAGTTCCTTTCATTAATTGATCCCAATAAGCTTGGAAATACAATATTAAAACATCTTAAAATTTACAACTTTTGTAACTAAAAGAGGAAAAAAAAAACTTAAAATGATGAAAAATAAAAAATAAACCCAACTGATTGATGGAAAGGATTTATTTAGCAATTATCAATTGATAGCTAAAAGTTAATCTCACCAGATTCATCCAGAAGAAACACATAAAATGTGTCTGAATTTTGGAAATAAGAGATTTCTTCAGCAATATCACTTAAAGAAATGTCAACACCAGTTAATCCTCTCATAATTCCATTAGGAAGTATCTGTTGTGATAAACTAATCACCATACCTAGAAAAAGTAAATTGATATATAATGTTATTGCCTAAATGATTATTTTGCATAATTACTCAATTAATTCTGGGAAAAAATAACAAATTAATAAATAAAAGAAAGGATCACTTAGAAAATTGATTAGGAAATAATTTTTTTCTTTCTGTTCAATTTCTATCCTATTTTTAACATAATTGTAAAAATGTTCAAAAGTTCATAATCATTTTTGTTGATGAAAATTCTATATATAATGTTAACAGAATCAAGTAACCAAACGTGTAAATTGAACAACAAAGGGCTTTTGTTTCTTTCAGCGAATTTGGCTTTGCTGCTTTAATTGATCTGGACAACATATACAAAAAAGTAGAATTACCTTCTGATAAGGAGTTTTACTTTTTTAGGATATTTTTACCACACTTTTTAGATAGAATGCAATTCCAGTGTTCATCCTAAATATCAGAGCCATCAATACACTAACTAATTTATTGCATTCTCTGACAATTTTTAATTCTTCAACAAACAACTTCTTTTTATGGTTATGGTTTCTTATTCTTCAAATGCATTAGAGATTTACACAAGTTTTAAAAGGGAGGTGTGGGGTAGTTTTTTATTTTATTTTTATAGCGCAATTTTAGTAAGAAATAATTATAAACCAAATATTTTTTGATAAAGCAATTACTCATTCAAATTTTAAATATATAAGCAGTAAGAAAAAAATTAGCTCAACTAAAAATTTTAAAATATAGCCTTTGAAAACTGATTTTCAAGAAGGGTAAAGAAAAAGTATGCTCATATTTCTCAAAAACTAGAGCACCTATCTTAAAATTTGAAAAATATTTCCCGATTAAATTGGATGTTAATGAAGGAGTTTTTTTTTTTTCAAATCCTTTTTTTTCAAGATTAAAAATAGTAAAAGATTTGTATAAAAAAAAGATTTTTTGAAAAAAAGTTAGACAATATTTAGATTGCAAAATTAGTAGCACTGTAATGCTCAAAAGGGAGAAAATCTTACATTCAGTATTTAGTCAAGTCTATCTAGAAAAGTGTATAAAATTAAATTCTGATATTTTTATTTATTTATCATGCAAGAGATTAGCTACACCACATTTTCCTTTTAGAAATGAAATTTTTTATCTTAAACACGTGCGCATTTAGACTAATATCAGTGTTTTCACTACAGCGCGAGAATGCGAGAATCTCGCATGTTTTTGTCTTTTCTCGCATTAAAAGATTATTACCGCGAGAAATTCGCGCATTCTATAAGCCAATTTCAAAATTTGCGAATTTCTTGCATTTTGAAAAAAATTTCTCTTTGCGCCATTTAGAATGAAATCCGTTTCACTTTTCTTCCTGGATCTTTCATTATTTTCAACATCTGCCCCATTATCTAGCTTCCCTATTTACCAGTATTGTTCAGAACCTTTAAGAACACCATCCCTCGGAACCACGGAACCTCTTTCAGAACGCATTTCTCTGCAACCACGTGTTTACCGTAGATAATGTTTCTCCATGTAAGAAGTTCAAATTTTTTGCGCATTAATGTAAGATGGACAAATACCTTGTTAAGGCAATATCTTCTACTTCGAAACTGACAAATGAAAATGAAACAAATGTGGGTAGAAACGATCATGGGTGAAAGCCCTTATATAGCAGGACGGAAAAGNGAAGGGTAAAGAAAAAGTATGCTCATATTTCTCAAAAACTAGAGCACCTATCTTAAAATTTGAAAAATATTTCCCGATGAAATTCGATGTTAATGAAGGAGTTTTTTTTTTTTTTCAAATCCTTTTTTTTTTTTAAGATTAAAATTAGTAAAAGATTTGTATAAAAAAAGATTTTTGGAAAAGGAAAAAAATTTAGACAATATTTAGATTATAAAATTAATAGCACTGTAATGCTCAAAAGGGGGAAAATCTTACATTCAGTATTTAATCAAGTCTATCTAGAAAAGTGTATAAAATTGAATTCTGATATTTTTATTTATTTATCTATTTATCATGTAAGAGATTACCTACATCACATTTTCATTTTAGAAATGAAATTTTTTATCTTAAACACGTGCACATTTAGATTAATATTGTTTACACACAGAATCCTCCGTTTTGAAGGGAGGCGAGAAAAAAGAAAATAAAAACATAAAAAGAAATACTGGGGCAATCTCCTTTCTTACTTTGTAAATTCCTTAAAAAAGATGGATTCATAGTAAATTTAAAATTTTTTTAACAATTTCAAAAGGAAGATTTCACCAATGGCTTATGCAATCTGTAATTCAAGAGGTAAGCTTCATTTTTAACACAGTAAAATAAGCAAATATTTATGACAATTGATGAGATTTTAAAAAATAATTTATATGCTTTCTTACCTTTACTGATAGGGTCATAATATGGGAGAGAGAAAAGGATACGAGGAGACATATGCCTGGGAAAATCTTTGAAAATATCTCCGATAGTTAAACTTATATCTTTTGTGGTATTGACTGGTACCATTACTCCTCTCTAAAATTATGGAGAAAATAAATTTAATTATTTATTCACATATATAGAAGTAAGTTGACATAATTTAACTAGCATTTGAAACCATACAGGGCAATATATTGGCAATGAATAAATATTTGCTTTATATATTCATAGTCTTTCATTTAAACCAGTTTTTGAAATAATAACCTTTTTCTTTTCTTACTAAAAATTCTTTTAAAAGTTGATTTTATAGATTGCACTATATCAAATATTCTGCAACACTTTCTGTTCTAACATATTTTTAATTTTCTTAATAAGTTGCATCTTATTTAATTTCTTTTCATAATGCTTTTATTAAAAAAAGAATTTTAATAATCAATCCATTTATTGAAATAAACTCTTTTATAATTCATTTATATTCTAATTGATCACTCCAATGAAAAGCCGAAATGAATGTGCCTTTCAATTGTGAAAAAGATATAGGTATAATTAAAAAAAAACTGAAATAATTTAAAAATCTTAAAAATGAAAAAATTAATTAAATAATTTTTGAAGAAAATTAAAAAAAAAGTTGATTTTGAAGAATATTTTGAGGATTCTCAGCAAGAAATCTATTCAATATGTAACACTGCATGTCCCATGAAAGTTTTAAAAATGGTAATCCAATTGAAATTTTATTATTTAACTCGGAGATTATCTCATTTAGAGCAGCAAGTAAACATTTGTAAAACAGTGTGAGAAGATAAAGCAAGCACAATTATTGATAGCTATAAGACTATAATAATGACAAGAAATATTCAATTTTATTTTAAATGTTAAAGCACTGAATTAAAAAAAAAACTTATTATATACATATATATATATATATATAAGTTCAAAATGAAGAAGTTGTTTTTCTTAACTTTCTTAGTGTTTTCTTGTATTNTATATATATATATATTAAGTTAAACTTATTATATATATATATATATTAAGAGGTTTATACTAACAATTTAAATGTTGAATTAAGAAAGAGTAAAACAAATAACTTGAAATTTGATTAATGTACTACTAGACAGCATCTCAAGACAATAAAAAATTGAGTGAAAAAAAATCATTTAAGTGCATTTTTATTAACAATGTTTTATTTCTGGAACATTGGCATTTTGAAGGGGATTTTTTTACTGAAAGTGGTTAATTTAACTGCACTCCCGTAATGCTGCATTCTTTGGTCGGAACAAAATAGTATCCACTTAAAAGTGCACGAAAATGTAAAATATCAATTTTGGAAATACAATAATAGTTTAGATGTTTTTAAAGCATAAAATAATGAAATATTGGCGAGATATCCAAAAAATTGTCCAGGATTTTTTTTTAAATATGTTAAGAGGAGCACAATTCATGAGCTTATGACATTTTCACAGAATTGCTTCCTATTTTATCAATTCTGTTGGCAAGTTAAATTTCACATTCTTAATCAATGTCATAATCATTTTTTTGCTTTTTATTTGCACTTGATTCTAGGATTTTAATTTGCCAGTTCATCTTCACCAATATTATTTTAAAAACAATATTCTACAGAAACAGAATGGAATAACAGGTTCTAGGTTATTTATTTGTTCCTTTCCTGTATCAATTAAAACTCCTGGTTCATCAGTCTTTAGCTGACAAATATCTAGATCATTCAAATTGTTGTTTACCTCTTAGACATGGTACTAAGAGCAAGCAAAATTTGTAAATAAGACAGATAAAAAAAAAAACATTTTTAACTCAGTAACAATAAATACATCTCAAAAGTAAAATAATCCACACAAAAAGAAAGAACTATCAATAGCAAGAATTTCTCCAATAACATTGCGGGGAACATTTTAAAAAACTTCTTTGATGTTAAATTTTAACATTATTGTCAAATAATGTAAAAAAGTATAACAGCCTCCTGAAAGCAATCACCTTATCTGAAATAATTTCTTTTCAATAGTAAGAATTTAAACAAAAGAGAAAGTGCATATCTTGCATTACTATCTGTTATGTTATCGGTATCACACGGTAAACAGCCACCTACAAACTCATTTCAAACCAAGTTCAATCTAAACACATTTGACCCCCGTTTTTTTCTATTCAAACATCATAATTTCTCTTGGATAAACATTATAATACCATTTGAATTAAATGCACACAACTTAATTCAATGAATCATTTGAAATCTAAAAGTATTTTTAAAACAATGTTGAAATGAGTTGAAACTCTTTAAAAGCCTATATTCCAAAAGTGGAACATTTGATTTAAACTAATATCTTGCCTTCAAAATTAAAAAAAAAAAAGCTTTCAAAGAAAGGTTGTAGCATTGAAAATCTTTTTAAATGTCATCCAACATTAAAATAAAGCTACGATAACTGATTGGTTTTAAAACATTTACTTAAAAGATCAAAATTATCACAAAAATCTGGCCTCTCTCTCTCTTTTTTTAAGGAGGGAGAGGCCATATTTCAGTTTGAATGCTTTCAAGAACAATAAATGTTTAGTGGAATTTCACAAAACCTGAATTTTCTGCAAGGCTTTATGTCTTATGTTGTATTTTCTGTAATTTTGCTCAGCAACATCTTCAAGAAAATCCTTTTCGTACATCACGGGTCTATTATCTAAAAATATATAGAATGCATTTAGTATAAAATTATTGTACCACAGAAATTTATTAACAATAAAATGAGATTTATTCTAGCAAAATGAAAAGACAAAAACAACATAAAAATGGATTGTTTTAATTTTATCGTCTATTCTTTACCCAGAGGTGATACTTGAAACAATGTCAAATCTCATTCCTATTATCCTGAAGTTTAGAAAAATTAACTGTGTTAATCTATACATATCTAAAGTAATAAAACACCTTTGAGTGTGACATCATAATGATAAAAAATATTGTTCTTGATACTTTTACCTAATTTACAAAACTGTTAGAAAACATTCAAGATTGTAAAATGTCATCCCTAAAATTTCTATAAAATAATGCATAAGACATACTATGCCCATATATGAGATATTTGAGAAAAACAATAGATATCACTTAAACTTTGAAGACCTGAGATCTACTTTGATGAACATGCAAGGTGATTTATTCTTAAGTTAAAATGGAAAAGGCGACTAAAAAAAAATCACCTTACAAAGAAAATATGACTGATGCTATATGACAGTTAATTGTAATACCTAACATTGCTTAGGTAACATTTTTCTACTAAATCAAAGTCGAATTCTATTTATTGACATCTGAAAGTCTTAATGAACTCAATTTCTTATATTTAGAACTAAAAGGAAAATTAATTACTACAATTAAAAATAATGGAAGGTATATTGAGAAAATAACAAAAAAAGTATTGTTCACCCAAGAAGCAAAGTAAAAATTAAATAAAGAAACTTATGAGTTACTTACCATCAATGAGGGCGTAAGTGTTGATAACAATGTGACTCTTTGATATTTGGTTTCCATTCGAAATAATTTCAAGAACTTTCCTGGCATCAGTGAGTGAAGATAGTAAACCTCTGCTTATATAAGATACCAATATTTCATCTGAAAATGCAAAATTTTATTATGCGATGGTTTATCATCAGAAGAAAATTGAAAATGTATAAACAAATTTTATTCGAATTTGTTGTTTATAATGCATCATTTCAACTTTAAATAGGTAACATAATCAAGAAATGTTATATAGTAGCATGCATATTCATTGCAATGCTTTAAGATTATTAAGTCTCTAAATAAAATCACTGAATAAAATCACTAAATAGAACTTTTAATAACTAATTAATATTTAATTTTATAATTAATTAATCAAAACTAAATTATCAATTGATAGTAGCTTAATTATTTTTTAGTGTAATTAGAACAATTTTTCATAAAAATTTAAAGATAAAAGAAGCACAAATAAAATATTTTTAAATTGAAGAACATCTGAAGTTTTACACACTTTCCTTGTTTAATTATATTAGGTTTTTCACCCACCTCTGACAAAAAAAAAATTATTTATTACTCTAATGAAAAAACTAAATTTATTATAATTCATTTTATTTTATATAATATTGCTTACATCTTAATTTTTAAATAAATCTAACTACATTTAATCTAAACATATTTTGGTTAAAAATAAAAATTTTTACAAAAAAATAAATAAATAAAAAACTTAAATGATCAAAAACTTTAATATTTTGACACTTTAAATTAGTATTCTTATATTTTGGAATATTGATATTATAATTTCAGAGTTTTATCAAAATTTATTGACAAAAGTTTGAAAAAAAAATTTAAAATTTATTATTGAATTTTTTCCACATAATCTTTAGTTGGAAGACAGGCCTAAGATTATTTTTTTACATATCAATTATCAAAAAAACAGAACATGGACTTTGAGTATGAATTTAATAAGCAATCAAAGTTAGAATAATATTTTTCATTTATTTAAAATTTACATTCTGAAGCATTTTTTGCATTCTGCTTTCATAATTATTCTTTTATTTTTTTTTTATGAATTTTAGAAATTGGATATAATTATTTTTTTCTAGCTTGTAATATAAGTTACCAACAATCCAATTTTTATAATACGACTACAATACTTACTAACTCTAGAGGCATACAATTCAAAGTTTTAAAGTCAAAATGTAATATTAAAACCAAATGTTCTATTTTTAGAACATTGGCATATCAAGAGTTCTAAGAATTCAAGTGATGCCTTGAGTTATGTTGTTATTGGTATTATGAAACTTATTTAAGATAAGCAATGAGATGTGAATGAAAAAACATGCATGTACAAGTTTAGGTTCAACTTCTTTAGACATGAATTTGCAGGAGGGTGATAATAGAATAATAGTGATAGAATACTGTAAAAAGTAGTGCAAGATATGCACTTTTTCATATTTAGAGGTAGATTTAGATGGATGGAGTTAGAGGAAACTGACTACCTTGATACCTAGGAAATAAACTGGTGCACAAGTATCAAAACTAAAATGTAATGGAGCAGGTTACGAAGGCACTGGCTTATTTTGGACTGTCAAGCCAAATATGATGATGGTGGCTTTCAGGGGACTATCACACTTTTTTGTGTGCATTATTTGACAATGATACGGTTAAAAATTAACATCTTAGGTTTTTTTAAAATATATTCACAACAATGGTATTAAATAGATTCTTGCTACTAATAAGTCCGTCTTTTCTGATTCTTGAGATCAATTTTCCTTCCTTGATAAATTTTTTGCTACTGAGTAAGTTAAAAAAAGTGTCCTTTTTTATTTTATTTGCCTCATGTCTTAGCAATATTGCTTATGAGAGGAATAAAGCTTTAACAAACGATGGCCGTATTTAAAACATTTTCTGAACTGATCTACAGCTTTATCAGTTACAGCCTGGTGAAGCAGAAATTTTAATTGATCCAGAAAACATAGATGAAAATAACCTTGAGTCTGTTATTCCAATTTATGTCTGTAGAATAATGTATTCAAAATTAATATTGGAGAAAATCAAATCTTAAAAGTCAAATGAAAATAAAAAACGAAAAAGTGAAAGCCCGATAATAAAATCAAATAAGAAAGTGAAATTTGACAAGCCAACAGAATTGAAAAAGACGTAAGTAAAATTGACATGAATACACAAATTGTACTACTCTTGATGCATTTTAAAAACTGTTCCTTGAAAGTATCCCATCACTATATAATCGTTTTATGCTTTAAAAATAGTTTAAACTATTAATATATTTTTCAAAATGATACATGGATACAATTTTGTTCTGACCAAGGATATGCATTGAAATGCAGCTAAAGCTATTGTAAAATGACCCTGCTAAATGCAAATGTTTCAAAAATGGAATAGCATTCAAAAGAAAAAAAAAACATTAAAAAATTTTTTTGTTTTAAATTTTTTTTAATATTTTCTTTAGATGATGGTTAGTAGAGATTTATAAAATTTGAAGTCAGTTTTTCTTTTCTCATTTCAGTATTTAAACGGTTATGGGCTGTAGGTTGTACCCCCCTAATTCCAAAAAAAAAAATGTAACTTAATACATACTGTTAATAGAAGTGTTGTCTGCATCAATTGCACGAATAACATCATATATCCTTTGAAATGCCAGCACATGATCTGTAATATCTGTAAAACCATTATATCGTTAGAAATCTTCAGTATTTATATCTAAACTCAAATAATACATAAAAAAAGTTATTATAAAAAAAAATGATGAAAAATGGAGAGAAAATCAATTAAAAACTAATATAAAATATTTTTTAAATAAAATATATAAAACAATAATTTTAAATAAAATTTCATTTTTAAAACGTTTCAAGGACTAAATCCTATGATTAATTTTAACAGAAATATAATTCTCAAGGGAAGAAATCAAGAAAATTTAATCCCTGGTTAACTTTACCAGTAACTAAAGGGTATAATTAGTCCATAGACATTTTCACTGATCCATTTACTTATATCTATTTGACTTTTCTTTTTCTTAAAAAAGTTAAAGTGAATTTAAATAAAATATCACAATACAAAGAATGTGGAATGTAAACAATTATGATTAAAAACATGCTAGCTTTTTCTGATGATGATGTTTTAAATAATAATAAAAAATATCAAAACATACTATTCCTTTACATTGATTGTTGGTCAGAGAGCATTTTTTATGGCAGCTAAATTTTAGTATTCAAGGATCAATGAACCTCTGCTATTTTTGAACCCTTATATTAATACATCAAAAGAAAATGCTTTGTAAACAAAAGGTATTTCACCAATGGAATTTTAATCAAATTTGATGTTTATTATATTTATAGGACTTTATTTCAATTCAAAAACAAATAAAACATACTGAAAAAGTCAGAAATTCATTAAAATTAAAAAACAGCACAAAATATAATTCACTAAAAATAAGCAGCAACTTTTTGCAAAAAATGACCTTATTTTAAATAAAAGTAATTAAAATAGTTTACTTATTTATAATTTATTTAACCCAATGCTAACACATGAAGATGGTTTGCAATTCAAAAGTAAAAAGAGAGAAAAACTAATATTATCTTTTTAGCAAATATATTAATATTATGAATAATTTGAAATGAAACTCAAATTTTGTTTTTATATAAATAATAACCATGAAAATGTAACCTAACTACTACCAAAAGAGAATATTATAAATGGATAACATAAACATAAAATAAACCTTTTAACTTAAAAATCTCTCTCTCACACACACACAATTACTAAAAAAAAAAAAAACTAAAATTCTAATAACTACAAAAATAGATATTGAGAAGTTGAAGTGCTAAAGTTGCCTTGAAATAGAAAAAATAATAGTTATGTTTGCAGTACATAAATTTACAACTGCTTCTTATTTTTAACTTACTAGGTTTTCTTGATAAACTATCAAAGAATCTCATCAACACTAATTTAGTTTCAAAAGTAGCCAATAATGGAGTTGTTCCTGAACAGCTGTTTCCTTGAGCATACTGAATATCTGAGGCTAAACCCATAATTATAACCTAGAGAAAAAAAGAATACGAGTTTTTAGAATCTACAAAGTCTTAATAATAATAGGAAAAAGAACTAATGTGCCCACATTCTTTCTACACAGTTCATACTAAAATAAGCTTATCTGTAAAAAAGTTGGGTTGGAAAAACTCATGAAGTGCTGATTTATGAACTACATTACTTCAAATAATTCATGCTTAATACAGACAAATTCTAAGCAAACAGTACAAATCAGAGAAATTATAAGTAAAGAAAAAACTTTTAAACAATTGTTTCGAAAAGATGGGTTTGCTGAACAAAACGTTAAGAGTTCAATTATTAAATTTTCCCTCCTTTTTTTTTACAGAATAAGCTTATACATTTTATTTAATATAGTTTCCATAACATTTTAGTTAACTATTTGTTTCTATATTTTTTAATTAATAGAAAATGGCTTTTATCAACTGTGCAGTACAGTTGCACATTAAATTTAATATTTAAATCTTAACATTACACAACAATTTACTGTATGAAAAAAAATTATACAAGCAAAATATGCTTAAATTGAGTAACACATTTCCTTAAAATAAAATACATGAAACATATTAATCCGCTTCCCCCAGTCCTTACTCATGCAGCTAGCTTTAATTGCTTTCTAACACTTAATCAACAGAAATTTTTTCATTGGCTTACTTAATATTTTTAAAACTAAAAAATTTATAAAAAAAAATGTAAATGTTCTATATAGACAATTGTTTTTATTTTATTTATTATTTTAATACAATGAATTGGTAAGTGTTTAATTTGATATAATAAAAAATTTAGATTTGAATTGAGTTCCTTGTTTCTGTAGTCATGAGAAAAATAAAAAAAGTCAATAGAGTACAAAAAGAAAAAGTTTTTTTTTTTTTTCCGTAGGTGATCAAAACATGTCAAGAGTCTCAATAAATATGTAAGATAGGGGTGCACAACCTTTTTGAGTGAAGGGCCACTTGCACGGCAGGTTGGCTAACGAAGTGCCGCACATGTATTTAGACATGTTAATGACAAATATAGTAATGTTTATTTAAACATTCGCGTCCTATTTTTTTTTATCAATAAACTTAGTGATATATTTGTAAAAAATTAAAGGTGTTCCATTATTATAAAATTACTTTAAAAAAAAATTGCTATTTTTATCATATGAACCGTAGATTTATCAAAATAAATAAACATTGAAAAAAAGAAATGTTTTTTTTTAATCATATCATGCAATGCGAAAATTCCTTTTAGAATTAAATTCTAATAAATAAATAAAAAATACAATGCCCACAGAATGAAAGTAGGAAAAAATTTAGTCATAATTAAGTAATATAAACTCAAATTAAATATTTTAATTGAAGAAAATTTATACGTTTTAAGCAAAAGCCTAAGCTAAAAACAAAACTGTGATAGTGCAAAATAAACTTCAATGCTTATTTTGTTATGTACTTTATTATTTCATTTTATTAATTATTAGATTTTTTTATCGTAAACATTTTCCTTTTTTTTAATAGAAAAAGATCACTAAAGAAACAAAAAATTGAAATCTTAACTACAAACAGTGAGCAGTTTAAAAATTCACGNTGCATTTCTATTGGCCAAGTTCTATTTCAAATCTACTTACTTTATCGTGTGAAGACAAAAGTCCCAATATATGCTTTCCAATAATTTTGGCACTCACAAACTGCGAAAAACTCAATGAATTGCCCTGATCAATAACGATGATAGCATATTTTGTTTGTACTTTCAAGGTGTCTTGAAACACTTGCCTATAAATAAACAAGCATTATTATTTAAATCAAACAAGAAAATTTTACATTAAAATAATAATATAGATAGTAAAACCTTGGTTATACAGACACTCTTGGGACAGAAAAAACTGTCTGATTACGCATGTTGTTCATTTACGGGAAAAGCACACTAATAACCGAATTGAACGCCGTAAATAGTTTTAGAATAATTGCAATGATATAGAAAAAATTAAATAACCTACATTAATTATATTCTTGAATAACGATACTTAAGCTTCAAAAAAATACTTTTTCCAATACAAAAAGAATATATGAAAAAGTTTGAACATCATCATCAGCACTGGCACGACAACCCTTTGTGAGCCTGGGCCTTCCTGAGAAGCTTTTCCCATTCTGCAATTCTCCCAGCAATTGATTTCCAGTTCTTTACTTTTACGATGGCAAAATTCTCATCCACACAGTCTTTCTATCTCTTTTGGGGCCTTCCTCTTGGCCTTTAATTGGAGTTTGATATATATACATAATTATAGATGTAGCTACAGAGAAATGGGTATGTTTTCCGTATTTACACATACATTCAAATTAGTCATATGATACCAAAAAAACACTTTTATCCCTACGACACTTCCTCAGACACTTTTAATAATTGACATCCTCCATCAGTTCCCCAATAGAATCGGGGCAATAACACCTTGAAGGTAAACCTCCAGGATGCGCAGAAAAAAAAGCAGCAATGCGTACGGGTAAGGCATGTGACACTGAGGAGATGTTACATTCCAGGGATGAGATTAGCCAAAAGGCAAAAAAGCTGNCAATAACACCTTGAAGGTAAACCTCCAGGATGCGCAGGGAAAAAAAGCAGCAATGCGTACGGGTAAGGCATGTGACACTGAGATGTTACTTTCACAATTGATCATCTATCAAATGTCTGAATAAATGTTTCATTTATATAAAGGCCTCAAATGACTACATTTCTGTTGTCTTTTTTTTTTTTTAAACCTAGCTGTGTTATACAGTCTCCAAATTGATTAGAAGTAGAAAGAAATTTTCAGTGGGGAAGAGAAAAAGGTGCCATATCAGCTTGTGGGGTATTATAACCAGTTTCTTCCAGATGAAAAGGTCAAATGATGCTGCTGTCCGAAATATTTCACAAGAGCAGTATCTTTTTCTTTCTTTTCTTTGTAAAGATAAAGGTGGGTTATGGAAGAATGACTCATAGTAAAGTAATAAATAACTTAACAATATTTTTGGTTGTAGATAGGGCAAAACATTTGCTTGTTTTAAAAATGGTAGAAAGTTGAATATTTTTTTCTTAGAACTTAAAGCAGAATTTTTTTTTTTTCAAATTCAGAAAAATTAGTGTCTCTTTAGAAGAGATAGAAAATAACGTTCCAGGACATAAATGACTCTCTGCGTCCGATTACAGGAGTGTCCGCTTTGCAGAGAAGGTACATAATGGTTTATTCATAGAAGATTCAGGAGGAATTAAAAATATGTCCGTAAGTTGAGGGTTCAGTCTATATATACATGTATATATATATTTATAAAGAAAATAAAAAAAAAGAGAAAAAATTTTCAAAAAAGAAAAGAATTAATTTTAAAAAAAATCTACTTTAATGAATAATAACAAAAATAAAACATTATTAATCAAAAATCACAAAATTCAAAATAAAACACAAATAGAAACAAATAAAGCAAGAAGTGAGAATGGACGTTAAGTACTTATGAACATCTTACAAGTGATTAAAAAAATATTTTCTTAATCAATTGCCAGATTACAAAATATGAATTTAAAAGGAAAACGGAGGAGACATATTTTTAAGGCACCTTCTAAGAGAAATACAGAGCCACATTTGATTTGCCTGTTACCTTGAGTTGGTCCGAAAACTGGTACTGGCTATAATACTGTATAATTCAAAATTTTATAATTAATAAAAGGTTGAAATTTAAATACAACATTTTAATTCAATGATTTTTTAGAGAAATAATTACCATTTATTGAAAAATACTAGTTGACTATTCCATGAGGTTGTTGGTTAATTATAAATTCTTTAGTTATGGATTAACCAGAATTGAATTTGAACACGGTAAAATATTAAAAACGAAACAGACTTAAAAAGATTTTTATTTATGTAAATTTATTCATTTATTAATTTTAACACACGTTTAACTAAATGATTTTGTAAAGAATTTAATAACATGGTTATTAACTTGTTGGATATCTATTGTTTTTAAGATAAATAACACTACAAATTCTTTAAATTCTATTTCTTTGACTAAAAATAGTATTTAAATAAATGTTTTCAGAAACATTAAAAAAAAAGGAACATGCTTAATTATAGGAACAGGAATTAAGAAACAAATGCAAAGAAGACAAAACAGGGGAAAAATTTCTTCTATTTGGTACTCCTAACACTACTGTGTTGAAATATATTGCTTCAGCTATATTGATACATTATTAGAACGCACTATTTTTGAGGATATAATTGTGTGAGCTGATTAGATCTTTTCATTATTTTTTTTCTTCTTATTTTGGTTGATTTTCAAATTTTTTTATTTTATTTTTCTCTTTAAATTTGTTTTCCTTTTATTTCTTTCCTAATTACATACAGGGGTTAATCTAGGTTTTATTTTTTGGGGAAATGGAAATTATTTTTGTGAAAATTTTTTAATGAAAAACATTTAGTTTAAGCAACCACTATGATTTATTCAGATTTTTTTGTAAATGTTCAAGTGTTTTCAGATTGTTTCTTGGGCGCTTCCTTATGATTCTTCAAATTAAATGCGAACCTCTACAACAGCCTCTACAGTTACGACACAAGACTTTGAGTTATTCACCTTTTAACATGCTCGATTTGTGACAATTGACGATAAAGTCACGCTGTTTGATGATATTTTGTCGGGAGTTATCATTTTTCGGCCTTTTTCTAATGTTTTTTTAAAAAATTCCAATGTTTTATACGATGTTATTATAACCTGCAAATTTCGACTTTGAGTAATCACTTTCCAACGCATTCGACTCATGATTCAATCATATAATGTATCATAGTTTGGTGATAGATTTTTTTGGAAATTATTTATAATTTTTTCACCCCTTTTCACATGATTTTTCTAACACTCATATTTTTAATAAGATGGTATCACAGCGTTCAAATTTGAGTTATCTCTTCGATGTGATCGACTTATGGTAAATTCATTTTGACTACATGCCGTTGGATGATAATTTTTCAGCTTTTTCATAATTTTTTTTGGTGGGCCTTTTACACAAGATTATTCAAACTCAGATATTTTTAATACAGGAAATCATGGCATAAGTTTTGAAGGGTCTGATTCACAATGATGCCAATTGTACAATCATGTCATTTTCAGAGAATCAGACAATTTAGTGTGACTATCTTTCTAAAGTTATAAACTTTGTGATTTGGCTGTTTTAAAAATTAAAATTTTTTGAAGGAACCCCTTTTTTGAATTTAAATTGAAAGTTTTTTCGAATGAGGAGAAAATATTATTAATGATATTAAAATTGATATGGAAAGGAATAGATCAATTTTTTCATAAAGATATAAGTTTTAACTTTAAAACAAAAAGTTAAACAAATCAAAACAATTGCTGTATAACTGGTAACAATTTTGCTATTATTTGTTTGTTTTTTTGTATTTTTTTTTTACAACCAACTTATTTTTGATGAACTAAACAGCAGTAATAACTTAAAAATACTTAACACCAGTAGTGATATTATTATTATTAATAAAACTAAAGCTATTTATAAAAGATTTAAAATTAAACCAAATAGTATTAAAAATTTTCTTTTTCTTTTTTCTAATCCACAATGTTATTAAATTCCAACTAAGTTCAAGTATAATGCTAGTGGTGTCAATAGTAAAAAAAAAAATATTATTTTGAAAATATTTTTGAATGAGTATGAAATAAAATTAACAAACATGCTAAAAATAATATTCATCTCACTTGGAATATCAAAAAAAGGCTCAGAAGTTTTAAAAACACTAAAAATTTTAAATGAAATTTATTTTCTAAGTTGATTTATCGTCGAAGCCAACATATCTCCCTTCCAAGTAATAAAATCCTTGATGACCTACTAAAACTTTATGGTCAATTCAATTTTAATTACAGTATTGATGAAGAAAGTTGAAAATTCTTTGTTCATATTAACCTAAACTACAATTATATTTGATTTAATGGCTGCTTTCTTTTAAAAGCAAATTAATGTTATTCCTAGGGGCAATAATTTTAGTACTAATGTTTGCAATATTTTTTACCTTCCAAGATTAGAGATTTGTTAAATCATTTGATAATTTTAATCTTCTTACAAATTCCTCTTTTCTCAGACTTATACTGATCTTTTGGTTTTTAATTTTGTTGACCCTGAATTTTTAGAGAAGCAAATTCATTTAAGTAAATTAATTCTTAACAGAAATAATTTTTAAAATCCTTCAGTTAAATCTCCAAATTTAACTCTTAAAACTAATTGAAAGTAGAGAAATTTCTTTTAAACTTTTTGACAAAAATAATTTTAATTTTCCATTCAAAAAGAGTATTGATTAATCAGTAATCATTCAAATCAAAGGCAGTAAATTAAAAATGTGTTTCTTTTTAGGTTGCCATTATTTAATAGGTTGCAAATTAAAGTAAAATAAGGAAAATACTTTTAAATTTATTAAAATGCAACAAAATGATAAAATGTATTATTTGCCCTCATTGAAGATGTTACAGTGTGAAGGTACTACTCGGGCTTCATAGAACTGATAGAAGTCAATTATAGTAAAATTCATTAGAACTACTTTTTTTTTTATGACAACAATATTCTACTTTGTTGCTTACTGTGTGAACTCTTTATTTATTTATTTATTTTCTTGCTTATTTAAAAGGAAAAAATATATATATTTTAGCGTTAAGCCTGGCAGCAGAATCTGCAGCATTATCTTCATAAATCCAAACTTGTATGTACCCCCAACACAGCCAGACAGATAAGTTGAATATTGCAAAAATTCCAACTGATACAAAAGCAAAAAAGGTCCTGCAAAATCCTACAAAATTTTCATTTATGCTTAAATTTAAGTTGAATTTTATAAAATTATACTAAAAAATAAAATAAATCCCTATACAGTTGAGTCTGGAGTCAAGTAACAGGAAAAACAATTCTTTATTTATACGTTCTCAATTCAGCATTATAATTTTAATCTTAAATAAGTTTAGAAATGTTTTAAAAAGGAATCTCAGTGATTTCCCCATTTGTTAGTTTGTTTTTAAAATTAAAAAGAAAACTTAGTTAAACAAGATGGCATAAGAGAAATCAATTATTATTAATTTAAAGGCTTAAAAAAATTGGAGAATGAATTAAAATGTTATTTTAGATAGAAAAAAAATTCAACAAACTTAGGGGCATGAAAAAATATAAGACTTAACATGCTAAAAAATTAACAACACTTAACCCATTTACTAAATACTGTTATAATTTGCACATTAAATAGAAAGATTGTTAATAGCTTACCTATGCCTATCTGATTTCTGCTCATTTCCATTGCAACTTTGATGGAAGGAAGGGTATTCAAAATGGGAACCATCATTAAAAATTAAATACTGCCAAAGTACAGATGGAACTTTTTTGAAATTCATTTTGAAAGCTGCAATAAATAAATAAAAATATCCTATAATATTTTGACAGAGATAATTAAAACAAGATAAAAAATGAGGCTACCAATTTTTTTAACAGTGAGTTAAAAAAATTTACAGAATTTTAAAATAATTTCTTAACTTATCAGTTCGGCAACATTTATAATACTTTTTTTCTCCTGCCTAAAAACCCAGATAATGGAGAAAAGTGTTAACGAATTTTTTTAGTAAATTTCTTTTCATAAAATTTTTTACTAATTAATATCAAAAATGTCCATTGCAGGATATAAAATTAGCTTCAGGAGAAATTTATATTATAAAAAAAAAAAATATGCATTGTCATAGTAGGAAAAGATTTTATTTCCTTTTCCATTCAAAGAAAAATCAATGCCCTGCAACTTGTAAGCTAAACAAAACAAAAAGTAGCTTAACAGTAAAAAATAGAATTTAATTTATTTTGAATTTCATTATCCTATAAAAATAAATGATAATATTAAGCATCAAACTCAATTTAGTTCATTTTTATATTTAGTTTTATAAAGTTTTATTTAGTTTTATAAAGTTTATTAGAGGGATATGAAAAACATCTCCCATTTCAAAATAAGCACTTACTTTAATTTTAATCTTCAACGAAAAACATTAAATATAGGAATAGGTTAAAAACAACAACAAAAAATGTTTTAAAAAACAAGAGTAGATTTGTAGATAACTAAACAACTTGATATTTGTTCCAAACACAGGTAGCTGACAGAAATAGCCAAATACAATCGAATCTAATTTGAATATTTAGATCACAGATTCCCAATATGGTCACTATAGCCCTCTTGTGGGTGGGATTCGGACCTTCTATATTCTTAATATCGGGACTTCCTATAGTATGTAAAAACTTACAAAAGAATTTTTTTTAAATATGGAGTATACTTTGAAAGGTAATAAATTTATTCTGTATTGAAAAACCAATACACATTTATGTATGCATAAATTACATGTAATTAAAAGCAGTTATTAATTCAGAAATTTATTGAAATGAAGGTTACTAACCAATTTTATAATGAAAGTAAAATTTTGCTTGCCGTTCTACAAAAATATGTTTTTGTACTAGTAAGTTAGGGGTGACATTTTTTCACTTTTGAAAATTCACATTCTTCTCAAAACACAGAAATGAAATTGATCAGTAAAAATTTGCCACAAATGAATGTCAGGTTAAAAATGTATTATAACAAAAATAAAGTAGAAGATTTTTTAATAATTTGATAAATACTAATTTAAAATTTTTTTACAGGGACGTTGGAATATACAGTGGAATGCTGATTTTACGTTTTCTGTCAGACAAGCGTTAAAAAAAAAATACACTAAGCAAGATAACATAGAACCAGGGTAAAAAAAAAAATTAAGTATGCTTTTCAAAATTTTCACTTACTAGGTGAACTACTAGGAAAAATATGTAATCTTTACAAGTTTTTTGTTTTTAAATATAATTTCAACAATATCACTTTCAAATCCAAGAGGTTGTGGGTTCAATCCCCTCCGGCCGAAGACTTCCCATGTAGTAAATGATGACCAATGCACATTAAATCTGTCAAGTCACAAAATCCTCCATGTTCCCATAACAAATAATTTCTCTGCGGGTACTGATCCAGAAGTTTCCTTGTTTTCTGGATTGGTTCAAAATTACAAGGCTACGAAGTTGAACATTAGTAGTTGTAAACCCAAAATTGGGTCGGCTCAGTTTTCGGTTTTAAAATAAAATAAAATATCACTTTCAATACTTAAGGTGACCTGGGGTAATTCCTGATCAAAAAATGCAAACATCTATTTTGTGAAAAAACTATTCAAGATAGAATTTTAATATTTTCTGGAAGTTTGAGGATATATGAGATGAGTCCCATGCTACCTTCTTTTGTTTAAAAATCTAATTAGAATTTAAAAGATTTTAAATTTTTAGTGATCAGGAATTACCCCGTCTCTTGATCAATTCTGGGGTAAATTCTGATCATTTCTGGGGTAATTACTGACCACCAGTTCTTACAGTAAATGGGCTGTTTAAAAATAACTATACAATGGTAATTAACAAATAAGACATTAAGATCAAACAAATAAACCAAAAAGATATGTTTAAGCAGCTAATAAAACTGTTTATTTAAAATCAGGAATAAAGATTAACACTTTAGCTCTGGCAGCAGCTCTCACACTGAAATTTTCATTTTCAATCATTAAAAATCTCACTTAACTTTCTGNCAAACTTAGGGGCATGAAAAAATATAAGACTTAACATGCTAAAAAATTAACAACACTTAACCCATTTACTAAATACTGTTATAATTTGCACATTAAATAGAAAGATTGTTAATAGCTTACCTATGCCTATCTGATTTCTGCTCATTTCCATTGCAACTTTGATGGAAGGAAGGGTATTCAAAATGGGAACCATCATTAAAAATTAAATACTGCCAAAGTACAGATGGAACTTTCTTGAAATTCATTTTGAAAGCTGCAATAAAAAATAAATATCCTATTATATTTTGACAGAGATAATTAAAACAAGATAAAAAATAAGGCTACCAATTTTTTTAACAGTGAGTTAAAAAAGTTTACAGAATTTTAAAATAATTTCTTAACTTATCAGTTCGGCAACATTTATAATACTTTTTTTCTCCTGCCTAAAAACCCAGATAATGGAGAAAAGTGTTAAAGAATTTTTTTAGTAAATTTCCTTTCATAAAATTTTTTACTAATTAATATCAAAAATGTCTTATTGCAGGGCATAAAATTAGCTTCAGGAGAAATTTATATTATAAAAAAAAAATATGCATTATCATAGTAGGAAAAGATTTTATTTCTTTTTCCATTTGAAGAAAAATCAATGTCTTGCAACTTGTAAGCTAAACAAAACAAAAAGTAGCTTAACAGTAAAAAATAGAAAATTAGAATTTAATTTATATTGAATTTCATTATCCTATAAAAATAAATGTAATATTAAGCGTCAAACTCAATTTAGTTCATTCTTATAAAGTTTATTAGAGGGATATAAAAAACATCTCTTATTTCAAAATAAGCACTTACTTTAATTTTAATCTTCAACAAAAAACATTAAATATAGGAATAGGTTAAAAACAACAACAAAAAATGTTTTAAAAAACAAGAGTAGATTTGTAGATAACTAAACAACTTGATATTTGTTCCAAACACAGGTAGCTGACAGAAATAGCCAAATACATTAGAATCTAATTTGAATATTTAGATTACAGATTCACAATATGGTCACTATAGCCCTCTTGTGAGTGGGATTTGGATCTTCTAGATTCTTAATATCGGGACTTCCTATAGTATGTAAAAACTTACAAAAGAAATTTTTTTAAATATGGAGTATACTTTGAAAAGTAATAAATTTATTCTGTATTGAAAAACCAATACACATTTAAGTATGCATAAATTACACGCAATTAAAAGCAGTTATTAATTCAGAAATTTATTGAAATGAAGGTTACTAAACAATTTTATAATGAAAGTAACATTTTGCTTGCCGTTCTACAAAAAAATGTTTTTGCACTAGTAAGTTAGGGGTGAAATTTTTTCACTTTTGAAAATTCACATTCTTTTCAAAGCACAGATATGAAATTGATCAGTAAAAATTTGCCACAAATGAATGGTCGGGTTAATAATGTATTATAACAAAAATAAAGTAGAAAAGTTTTTAATAATTTAATAAATACTAATTTAAAATTTTTTTACAGGGACGTTGGAATATACAGTAGAATGCTGATTTTACGTTTTCTGTCAGACAAGTGTTAAAAAAAAAAAAAAAAAAAAAAAAAAAAAAAAAAAAAAAAAAAAAACGCACTAAGCAAGATAACATAAAACCGGGGTAAAAAAAATTTAATCATGCTTTTCAAAATTTTCGCTTACTATGTGAACTACTATGAAAAATATGTAATCATTACACGTTTTTTGTTTTTAAATATAATTTCAACAATATCACTTTCAAATCCAAGAGGTTGTGGGTTCGATCCCCACCGGACGAAGACTTCCTGTGTAGTAAACGGTGACCGATGCACATTAAATCTGTCAAGTCACAAAGTCCTCCATGGTCCCATAACAAATCATACCTCTGCGGGTACTGATCCAGAAGTTTCCTTGTCTTCTGGATTGGTTCAAAATTACAAGGCTACGGAGTTGAACATTAGTAGTTGTAAACCCAAAATTGGGTCGGCTGTTCAACGACGGTTATAAAATAAAATATCACTTTCAATACTTACAACAGTTAGCAAATTTGCTTTATAGTTTACATTCCCGAATGTTTCATAGCTTTGGAGCTTTTAAACTCTAGATCCACTGTGGAGATATCCTTTTGTATTTTTTACTCATCTTCAATATCATCTGGAGCAGGCATTAAATCAGATATATCTATTGAAGGAATTGAATAGCGTCTTGCAGTTGCTATACGCGTCATCCGCTTCAGACATGTAATTTTATTCTGAAGAGTCAATGATCCCATTGGATACAGAGAAGCAATTAACCCACAGAAACTCTATTCATAATGCATTTGAGTTGATGCTGTCCAATGCTGTGAAAATCAAATTCAAAGCTTCCAGAACATTTATTTTTGCCTTAGAAGCAGGTCATTGGAATCAAGAAAAAAGAAATGATTACTTAACCAATTGTTTAGTATAATGTTCTTTAAATGATTAAATAATTACAAGATGGTTGGAAAAATTCCTCTTGCAAATTTTACAATTTAAGCTCAATATTTTCTTTCCCCTCTCACAGACAAAAGGACAATAAGATAGAACAGAAAGAATGTCAAAAAAGTGACAAAAACTAATAAACAAATCATTTATTTAGAAAAACTCAGAAAAAGCTTGTGTTTGCTTTGTAAAGAAAAAATTATTTTGATTTGTTTGAAAAACTTATTTTTAAAATTGGAATTTTCCTGAAAAAGGTAATGTAAAATCAGGGATAATTTAACACTATGGGTATATAGGCAATTTTCACAGATCAGCAGAATATGACGTAGGAAGCGGGTTACTGCACAAAACAACGTAAAACAGGTGTTCCACTGTATTTTATTTGCAAAGTCGGCAATGAATCAAAAAAGATTGAGAACCTATGATTTAGATCAAACTTACAATTTACATCAATTACTGTTTATACTACAATCAAATTAAATATTTACCTGCAGAATAATTTCTAGTAATGTATGAACCAGCAGCTAAATTAGAATAAGGATAAGATAGACAGCCTGAATCCAAATTTACCCTGGAACCGAAGTGTTCAAAATACCTAAGTAATGAAGGGAAGAAAAAAAACAATAAGTACATTAAAGTAAAAAATTTTTTAACTTCTAGAGCACATTTTGTTAAATGATTACAAATTTGGATAGACTAGAAAAGACTTTAATTACATTCCAACATTCACAAAAAAAAAAAAAAAATGCTAACAATAAAAGTGACATAGAATTCTGTACTAAAAAATTAAGAAAAGAGATCTGATATAAATTTTCTAGCAATCAAAACTTTCATTTTATGTGAGCATTACTTTTAAATTTTTTTTTCTTAAAATGCACAAGTGTTTATAAAAATACAAGAAATATTTGCTCAATATTAAGCATTTGTGCTTTGTGATTAAATCAATAAATAGTTCACAGTACAGTGATAACAATGATTGTTATCTATTATTTTAGTTTATTATCTATAATTTTTATTTATATAGTTAAATAAGAAAACAAGAAGTAAAATTATAATTTTTCAACAGAAGTAGGAAAATTGTAAATATTTAAAAAAATTCTAATGTAAATGCATAAGTAAAAAGAATTGTTTTTTTTCTTTTCTTCAAAAATATAATCTTATTTAAAACAATTTTTCTATTGTGACAGTAAAACATATATATATATATATATATATGTATATACTTGTATATACATATATATTATACATATATATATTTATATATACATATACATATATACATAAATAATGGATTTAAATAATGATACACTATAACCAAATTTTTTATTACATGAGATTGTCAAATAGATGTGTCATTGCATATAGATGTGTCAAATATTAGTTTTCAAAAAATACTTATAATTTAATAATGCTTCATACATTATATTATTTGTTTTAAAATAATAGTTTGTTGATCTAGGCTATTTTAAATTCTTGACAATTATTTCAACTTAATTTATAAGATCATTGTAAAGTATTCTTATAAATGCATAATTATAGAANAAAAAAAAAAAAAAAAAAATACTTGAATCTAGAATAATGGCTAAAAAATGCTGCATAGGGTAAAATATTAAGAATTAGAAAAAAACTTAAACAGTTTGCAGCAGTACAATTTCAGGTATCATCCCTGTTTCAAAAACGCATAAAAAAAATAAAAATAAAAACTTGCCAAAAAATTATTTATGTGATTTGCATTTGCGTAAGTTAGTATGATGATCAAATACATAAAATATTTTAAAAAATTTCTTCAGCATTAGAAAAATTGAACATTTTATGCCTCCTCCTCCTCAAAAAAAAAAAAAAAAATCCAAGCTAGACCTAGTTGTCACCTACTTTTACGATCCTCTCAATCAGAATTACCCAATTTTTATAAAATGGTCAGAAATATGTCATTAACTTTGTCATATCAAACAGTGAAGAAAAATAATCATGTCATAATAATCCTTATTTTACTCAACAATACTAAAAAATAATCTTAATCAAAGTTCGCAAATTTAAATCAGCTTGATTTATCTCAAAACAGGGACTTGAGTAATCCTCTCGTGAAGTGTCTGTTTTGCATGATTTTGTCGTGGTCTATGTGATCTTTTTTCTCAGCTATTACTGCTACAGATATGATTTTTAAACTTTTTTAATAAGATGATGACTTGCAAAATGCAAAAAAGGTAATAATTAGTGTTTACTACCTTCTTCAAAATGCGAGAATAGTGCCCATAACATTAAAATATATATTCTTTTGTATGTTGATGAAAAAAAATTAAATATATATATATAGTTTTATTACATTTGTGGAGGATTTTTTTATTTAACACAATGCATGTCTAATAATATAAATTAGTAACCTACATATTACTATTAAAAATGTCTTGCAGAAAGGTATGAGTGCTATGAATGTTTGTTGCAGAAAGCCAGAAAAAATTCTGTCATAGAGGATTATACATTTTAGGGGAAGAGTTTCCAATTTTTATGAAACAAAAGCTTTTTTATTTTTCTTTTTTTGGAAGGTTTTTTGTGCATGGTCAAATCAGGTTTTCTATGCAAATCAAAGAGCAAAAATATAATACATTAAGTTCAAGTTTAAATTAATTTTTTTAAAGGTATTCAGATAATCCTAAATATAATTTAGGATTATCTGTTTTTCCTGTGAAGTTTTCATTACTTTTAACTAATATTACAAAAGCATACATTAGGGGTGCACAACCTTTTTGAGTGAAGGGCCACTTGCACAGCAGGTTGGCTAACGAAGGGCCGCACATGTATTTAGACATGTTAATGACAAATGTAGTAATGTTTATTTAAACATTAGCGTTCCATTTTTTTTTATCAATAAACTTAGCAATATCAGTAACTTAGTAGTGTTCCATTATTAGAATTCATTCAAAAATAAAAAAACTTAGCAAGTTTTTTTTACTTGCTATTTTTATCTACGATCAAAATAAATAAACATTGAAGAAAAGAAATGTTTTTTTTTTTTAATCATATCATGCAATACGAAAATTCATTTTAGAATTAAATTCTAATAAATAAAAAAAAAACTGCAATGCCCACAGAATTTAAGTAGGAAAAAGTCTAGTCATATTTAAGTATTATAAATTCAAATTAAATATTTCAATTGAAAAAAATTTACAGGTTTTAAACAAAAGCCTAAAATAAAAACAAAACTGTGATAGTTCAAAATAAAATTCAATGCTTATTTTGTAATGTACTTTATTATTTTATTTTATTAATTATTAGATTTTTTATATCGTAAACATTTTCCTTTTTTTTATCGAAAAAGATCACTTAAGCAATAAAAAATTTAAATCTAAACTACAAACAGTGAGCAGTTTAAAAATTCACGTTTTCCGCCATTTTATGAATTTCTNTTTTTTTTTTTTTTAAATGTTGGTTTAACACAAAAGAGCATGAAAATAACTGCAGTATGAAAATTAATTTAATTCCATTTGAAAGGGCTTAAAAATTGACTTGCAATTGAAATTGTTCAAAAATTATAAATAGATTATCAATGAAGAGCAATAATGTGAATATTGTTCTTTGTTTTGTAGTGGTTATTCTAGCTATATGGGATCTTCTCAAGACTTGTGAAGACTTCTAATAGGAATTCTTCCAGAAATAAATCTATACAATACATATGACAAATTCAGAATGAGTAGATATGATGATAACATTGTTGTTATAAGAGTTCTTGGTTTATAAATGTTCTCTAAAGCTCTACAATGTCTTTTTTAAAGTGTTATAACTGACTTTTAGTTAAAATCTTAAATGCTTTCAAAACAGCCAGAGTTTCATAAATTTCTAAAAATATCCATATTTATTTTTAAAAAAAAAACAAACGAAACAAACATAACAGATTAACAGTAATTAAGGAAAAGTTTTATATTTAGAAATAAAATTTTATCTTACCTTATCCAAAATATCCTGAGAATTTTCATGTGTTTCCATACTTGGCAAAGAATCATAAATGGCCTGAAATTTTTTTTTAAAAAAATAATAAGTTCAACTACATTAATATAAAACATATTTTGTGGGTAAAACTATTTCACACAACTTAAAATGTCTTGATTTTAATAATATTGACACAGTGCTACATGCAAAACAAAGTACTATAGAAGTCATGTCAATGTTTAAAATACTGTCAAAAATACAGGTAATTGTTTGAAATTAGAAACACCACAGTTACAACTATTATCATCTATATCTGTGCAAAAAAGAAATTTTTTTTTATTCTTATTAAATACTATTAAATCAGCTTTCATAATTTTTTTTATTACTTGCAAAAAGTAAAAATTTGCACAAAAATAAATAAATTTTTTATTTTTAAATATCACTACTTAAGAATACTTTAAGTTCTAAATATTTTTTTTTTTTTTTTTAAATCTTAATTTTTACAGATTTAATTAGATTGATGCTATACTCTTAAACAACCCTGGGCAAGTCACAATATTATCTCTGATTATTTTAAACATAAGTGCTAGGTAGTTTAGCATAACTAAATTAGGGATCGCAGTTTGTGCCAACAGGGTTCCATATAGAAATATACCTTTGAAGTCTTCATACAACACAAAGATTCGATTCTTGTTGTAAGATACTTATGTAAGATACTTGAATGAAAGAAAAGTACACATGGAAAAAATAGAAGAAAACTTCCTGAATTCTTTTCCCATTAATTTGACTTCTGAGTGAAGGATAGAAATCCTTGCTTATTGCAATACAAAAGTGCATTTTTTATTAAGAACACAGTTTTTAACAAATTTTCAGTTTTGAGACTCACTTTAACATGACAATCTAGAATTTATGACCCAAAAGTCAAAATCTCTCAATTTCAAAAATCATAACATAAAAAATAAAAAAACTAAGAATATTTATTGCTCAAAATATGTATACCTATTTAAGAATATAAAAATTTCCTCATTTAACACAGAGTAAATACAACTGTTTAAAATTAATAATTTTTACATAATGACAATTTAGAAACTATCCTTATTATCTCGCATAAACCAAAATCCTTGAATCCTAAGTAGAGTTGGAAAAGTACCAATTTTTTAAAAAAAAAGTTAGATGGTATTTTTAAAGAAAGTTTAAAATAATTATACTTAAAAAAATATTTCTATAAACAATTAAAATTCATTCACATTCAGGGTTCGCCAAGTGGGCCCACTTTGAAAAAACCCAACCCGCCCGGGTTTTTTCAATAAAACCCGAGCGGGTTGGTTTTTTCCAAACCCTGTCCACAATCATTCCATAACTCATGATAACAAAAAATAACTGAAGAATTTAAATATGCCTTATACATTAATTTACAACAGGTAAATAAAATTGAAATGTTACTTTAATAATGCAGCATGTGAAAGAATGATTTCCTTTAGTTTGTCAGTATCTATGAAATGTCACACTTCACATTTAATGGCATTATTTAAACAATTTATAACAATAGAGAATTAGTTTGTTCAAGTAAATGGAAATTTCTTTTTCTAAAATTGATTATTAAATTAAAACCAATAAAAATGGTGCATGAAAAATTTAAGGTAATATAGTTTTTCAATTGAAGAATTTTTAAAAGGAACAAAATGTCAAGCAGACTGTATGCTTATAAAATGAAGCAAAGGCACATTTTAGTTAAGGATGTAACGAATATTCGGCCACAATTAGGTATTTGCCATTTTTGCTGAATATTTGGACAAATTTTCAGCAAAGAATTATTTGGAAAACTGTTTTTCGACAAAGTTTTTTTGGGTGAAATTTAAATAGATTTAATAAAAAATGATCCAAAACTGTATTTTTTACTATACATTTTTAGAAATAGTTATTTACACACGTTAATTTATGTTCTGAAAGACACATGGAAAAGCGAATCTTAAAGAATTAAAACTAAATTACTTTAAACTGAAACAATCAGTTTCGTCATGCTGATTTTTATTCCTTTTTAATTATATTCAGGCAAGTAAATTTCATCATTTTCCCAACACTTTATATTTTAAAAATTGAGAACTTTTTTTGTTATTTATTTTTGCTTGTTTTTCTGTTATGACAAAAATGAAGTATGTTAATGGTGTGTTTCTAATAAACTTTCTTCTTTTATTGTCACTTTCTGCTTGTACAGTAAGACAGATAACCAGAAATATAGAAAACTGTGATTTTAAAGGCTTAAGTTATATTTCAGAAATAAGAACAATTTTTTTCTGTTTCTCTTTTGATTTTTTTTATTTATGTTTCTTTTGATTAGTGCTTTTATTATGACAGAATTTTTTATAGGGCGTTTCCAATGAACATTATTCTTTTATGGTCACTTTTTTTTTCTAAAAAAAATTCAACGAGAAAAAGTTAAATTACGATTTTTATTAGTGTTAAATTTTTTGTTAAAAAATTACTAATAATTTTTGTTTTTACTGACGCTTTTCCTATGACACAGAAATTAAGACAGTTTCTACTGGATCTTCACTTTTTCATTAAAATTTAAATGTTTAGCTTTAAAATTTGATTAAAAAAATTAAGATCCATTATTATTTTTTCTGTTTTTCTTTTGTATATAGTCTTTGATTTTTATAAGCTTTTTATGATAGTGCTGCATTTTTAAAAGCATTTCTAGCAGAAATTATCTTTTTTAATGTTTAATGGTACATTAATAAATTTTTTTATTTGTTGATATAAATTATTTTTTAAGCATAAGTTTTGTTTTAAGAATTAAGAAGATATTTTTTTTAAAAATAAAAGCTAGTTTTTTTTCCTTACATTTTTCTAATTATTTTAATATCTAATTACATTTAGTTACATCCTAATATCTAGTTATTTTTACCTTTATACCATGGTAATAATACAACTAAGCTTTGACTATCTTTCAATAATGATTAAACTTATTTCAAAATAAAAAGAAAATAATATATTTATAATATAATTTATTTTTTTAAAAAAAAAATTTGGGGGGCGAATTCCGTATCGTGATCTGTGGCAAAATAATTGCCAAGTCTTTGATACTTCCGGCAGTGGCTTGTGAGAAACTAAAAAAAAAAAAGCTCAGAAAGGGACCAATTCGAAACTCGTAGCCACCCCTGGGGCAAACATCTACATGTTTTTTTTTTAAAAAAAATTGCAAGTTTAAAAATCTATTTGGCATCTTGGCGATTGCCCCAAAATTTAATTCAACCTCTGACTATTCTACATCCGTGTGATTTTTGTTGTCGAATATTCGGTATTAGACCAAATTATTATTAGTTACATCCCTAGTTTTAGTATCAATAGTTTATTTGTCATTTATTTTAACGAAATGATGTTTTAAGCAAAACAATATGCTTATAAATAATGTTACGATAAATAAAATAACATATTGAATACCGACATGTTAATTGATTGTGAAAATGTAAAAATACTGCCATTATAAATAATAATAACACACTGCAAGTAATTATACTTTACACTGATAATAGAAGAAAAAAAATAGATAATGGGGAAAAATGTTAGAATAGCACCTTATTTCAATTTATGACTTTCTTTTGATAATGGTTTTGCTTAAGAAGATAAACTAAAAAGTAATCAAAAAACTTTTGATCTTAATTCTAATAATTACATTAAAACTAATTTTAGAAACTAATCAAAAATGAAGTTAGCGATGGTCTTTTTTATTTAAAGCATTTTTTATAGCAGGGGTGATTGTGAGCCCAACTCAAAAATCCCGAAAATTTCTTGAGTAAAATCATTAATGACCCACCCATTTCAAAAAATTAATGTCTATAATTTATTTAATTGATATTTTCAAAACATGAAATTCTAAATAAATTATACGCAACATATAATTTCAATGAAAAATTATGTATAAGTTTACTTTTATCTCTAATCACGTTTATTTTTCTAGCAAAAAAAATATTTACAAATGAAAGAGATGCCAAGCATAAATTCTAGTTCTAATATTTTTAAATAAAATACGCAAAATTTTTTATAAATAAATTTGATCGATGATTTCTTCAAACTTCTGGACCTTGGATTTCCGAAAACTTCCGGATCGCGGTTTGCGAAAAATCGGATTNCTATCCTCTATTATTTTTTCTGTTTTTCTTTTGTATATAGTCTTTGATTTTTATAAGCTTTTTATGATAGTGCTGCATTTTTAAAAGCATTTCTAGCAGAAATTATCTTTTTTAATGTTTAATGGTACATTAATAAATTTTTTTTTGATATAAACTATTTTTTAAGCGTAAGTTTTGTTTTAAGAATTAAGAAGACTTTTTTTTTTAAAATAAAAGCTAGTTTTTTTTCCTTACATTTTTCAAATTATTTTAATATCTAATTACATTTAGTTACATCCTAATATCTAGTTATTTTTACCTTTATACCATAGTAATAATACAACTAAGCTTTGACTATTTTTCAATAATGATTAAACTTATTTCAAAATAAAAAGAAAATAATATATTTATAATATCATTTATTTTTTAAAAAAAAATTTAGGGGGCGAATTCCGTATTGTGGTCTGTGGCAAAATAATTGCCAAGTCTTGGATACTTTCGGCAGTGGCCCGCGAGAAACTAAAAAAAAAAATCACAGAATGGGACCAACTCCAAACTCGTAGCCACCCCCGGGGCAAACATCTACATGTTTTTTTTAAAAAAAAAATTGCAAGTTTAAAATCTATTTGGCATCTTGGCAATTGCCCCAAAATTTTATTCAACCTCTGACTATTCTACATCCGTGTGATTTTTTGTCGAATATTCGGTATTAGGCCAAATTATTATTTGTTACATCCCTAGTTTTAGTATCAATAGTTTATTTGTCATTTATTTTAACAAAATGATGTTTTAAGCAAAACAATATGCTTTTAAATAATGCAACGTTAAATAAAATAACATATTGAATACCGACATGTTAATTGATTATGAAAATGTAAAAATACTGCCATTATAAATAATAATAACACACTGCAAGTAATTATTCTTTACACTGATAATAGAAGAAAAAAAATAGATAATGGGGAAAAAGGTTAGAACAGCACCTTATTTCAATTTATGATATTCTTTTGATAATGGTTTTGCTTAAGAGGATAAACTAAAAAGAATTAAAAAAACTTTTGATCTTAATTCTAATAATTACATTAGAACTAATTTTAGAAACTAATCAAAAATGAAGTTAGCGATGGTCTTTTTTTATTTAAATCATTTTTTATAGCAGGGGTAACTGTGAGCCCAACTCAAAAATCCTGAAAATTTCTTGAGTAAAATCATTAATGACCCACCCATTTCAAACAATTTATGTCTATAATTTATTTCATTGATATTTTCAAAACATGAAATTCTAAATAAATTATACGCAGCATATAATTTAAATGAAAAATTATGTATAAGTTTACTTTTATCTCTAATCACGTTTATTTTTCTAGCAAAAAAAATATTTACAAATGAAAGAGATGCCAAGTATAAATTCTACTTCTAATATTTTTAAATGAAATACGCAAAAATTTTTATACATAAATTTGATCGATGATTTCTTCAAACTTCTGGACCTTGGATTTCCGAAAACTTCCGGATCGCGGTTTGCAAAAAGTCGGATTTTTTCCGGAGTACAATCATCTCTGTTATAGCTATTATGACAACCTTCAATTTGTTCATATTAATGTATTATACATAATAACAGAAGCACAATGAAATGTAAATATTTAAAATACATATATTAATGCTTATTTAAATTACCATCTCTCATTAGTAATTAAACTGAAAATTAAAAAATTTTAGGGAAAATTTTCTTTTTTTCATTTAGCAACATTTAAACTTCATATGAATAGATAAAAATAAATACATTAAAAGAAAGTTATCGTTAAAAAAAATAATAACTGTTTGGTTAAAACTATATTGGAGTAAAACAACTAGCTCTAATAACTGCATACATTTGCAATAAATAATATTCATTTTTCATGATAATAAATGTTTGATAAGAAAAATAAAAATATATTAATTTGGCACATCTAAACAAAGATAACTGAGGTTTTTAACATGACAATCTAGGAATTGTTTTATCTATGTCTTAAAAGTCAAAATCTCTAAATTCCTTGAATCCTAACAAATCTGCAGAATAAAATGTAAATAATATTCATTGTTCATGATTATAAAGTAATGTAAGAAGAAATGTAACAAACATGAAAAGCATTAAAATGGACACTCCAAAATTTAAGTTCTATCAACAAAGTAAGAACCTATGTTATAGCGTCAAAACACAAAATGAAGGAAGAAAAAAAAAAAAAAAAAAAGGAGACAAATATACATGTATTAGGAGATTTCTGTAGTGTGATCAGCAGCAGAATAATTGCTAAGTCTTGGCAACAGTCAGTAAGAAACTAAAGAAAACATTACTTAAGGTGACAAACTAGACAGGTACCTATAATTCATAAACCCCCCTCCCTGAGTTGATCCCATCTTGCTTACATGTTTGTTTGTTTTTTTTAATTTGCAAGTTTGAAGACCATTTGCCGTCTTGGCGATTGTAGTTTGCGCGACAGATCACGATAAGAAATAACCAGCATATGTGTGCCTTATTCAAGTTTGTTTACCTTTAACACAAAGAATACCCGATATTCTTGAAATAAAATATGAATAAATCGACACAATTAAAATTTTCTTAACATATAAAAGCAAATGCACTTACTTTTATTGAAATCACCTCACTTGATAATAATAAGAAAATTGAAACACTAAGCTTTTACCTGCATTTTTGTTGAACACAACTCTTCATTAGTAATTCGCCTCAAATGTGTCCCAATGCTTTTACCGGGATTAAAGTAGTTGTCTCTGTTGAAAGATTGTTGAATATCTTGGAGGCTGATAGCATTTTGATCTTTCCTTTTTTCAAATCTTTCACGTTCTTGGGCAAGTAATTTGGCATTTAGTCTCACAACATACTGTTTTTGATTAGACAGTTCACCAGAGTCTTTCTCATATGCAAGGAGCTCAGATTTTGAAGCAATGAAATTATGACTGTCATTTATACATCGACAAGGCAATATAAAGAAACAAATAGATAGATAAATTAATAAAGCAAAGGCACAATTACAAAAATTATTAACTATAGATGATAGCAGCATACTACTGCTAACGGTATTGAATAAATACATATTTAAGGCTTTTGACTATAGTTTAACAATATTATTATGCAATTTCACCACAACTATCACTATTAGTAGCCTTTTTAGGATAAAAGCACTCATTTTTTTTCCTTTCAGATAAGGCTGAACTTATTATTTATTATGATTAAATAACGACAACTATTATAGAGCATCCATCTTTTGTTGGCTGACACGGACATTTATTTGCCAGATACCAAAACCAGAATTTCATAATTAAATTAATTTCAGTTGTTAGCCGAGCGTAGGTGATCGAAATGGGATCTGCCAATGGCAACACTTCGCATGCTTTCACTGCTGCGTTATTTAGGAAGCGCGTTAGTTTCTGACTTGATTTTTCATTCATTAGAATTATTTAAGTTAGGAAACTATATGGAACTGAAAACCACATTAAACTTAGTTCCAAAAGAAAGCGCAGTTGAAATTTATAAATCGCCATCTGGGGAGAGACCGGTTTCATGCCTTTAGCCCTTCTCCCTTCCCTCTCCTCTTTTCAGTTGTATAGGAATGTACTACGATATTTTCCCTTTTCTTACTATTTTTCCTTTTTGTTTAACAAAAATATTTTTTAAAATAACCATAATACTTTTCTTTAGAATTATGTTTAATGTAGTTTTCAGTTCCATATAGCTTTTCCAGTTAAAAGATTTTTATCCATATGAAAATCAAGAGAGAAACTAACGTACTTCCTTCCTCTATGACTTTCCATGAATATAAAATAAA